TGAGCAGGAGTGTTGACGAATCGCTGCTCGACGTTTGGAAGAACGTCAGCGCACTGCAATTCCTCAAGCCTCTAAAGTCGCCGTGTCAGCGGATTTTGAATATTCACGATTGGAACCGTTTGATGTGTCATGAATACACACAACATGTGTCCGAACTGATCCGCGGTCTGAGGGTACCAGCATTGTTCTTTAACATCCAAACTGCTCAAGAAATCTGGCAGGTAGAAAATGGGGTCGCTTGAAACATCCAGTTTGATCTGCGAGGCGTGGGGGATGGCCTCTACTCCCTGTAGCCTACAGGTAGCTTTAAACACAAAATTCCGTATAGTTTCATTATTACTGACCATTAAATTCAAAATAACTATGAGCTCTCAGCAGTTTACCGTACCGGTATGACAGTGCTTGGTTACCTAACAAAAAATGTTATTACTCAAGTCACAAACGGTGCTGCAAATAATCTAAACGCTATGATCTATGAAACATGTGTAATTAGACACACATTACACAGTTGATACTTTTTTAGCGATTAAATGTTTTTGATAAAAAAAAAATAAAATAATTTTTGTAAATGATAAAATGTGTCTGATCAAGGCCCCACTAGAAAAAAACAGGCCATGCTGCAGCACGGGCAGCGCAACACTACGTCACAGTGGTGGATAGTTGTACTCAAATCTTACCATTTACAATCTGACAATCTGACACACAGCCAGTTTATTTACCTTTGGAATATTGCAAAATATCAGTGATAATTTATCAATGAATCTATTCACTTATTCACTAATGTGGACGTCATGGATCCTGCAGCATGACCTGTTTTTCTAGTGGGACCTTGGTCTGATCATGATATTATTTCAACTGTTGAACCCATATTACAAAATTAAAACAAATAACCACAACCGATCAAGGCTCGGTCCCCCGGTACTGACATTTTTTAAATATTGAAGTATTGAAGATACATCAGCTGTTAAGTTTTGTTTTAGTTTGTTTGTTTACCATGTCTTTGTCTTAAGTTAACCTTTTGTTTGATTCTTCCATAGATTTCTATATTACATGAAGAGAAGTGACAGTACAGTTTTCTTATAATGTGAGATAGTGTTCAAACCTTTGAATTCTGCTTCAATTTTACTTTAGCTGAGTAACTTATTAATTAATTTTATAAACACAGCAATTGATGTTGCAACAAATATGTTATTGTTGTGTTTATAATTAAGTGACAACAAAAACCATATTTTGATGGAGCATTGTTCCAAGTGCGGGAAAAAATACACCTGTAGAGTATTTTTCCTAATTCCTTGTAACATGGACATTGATCAAATTTAATTTACATCAAGAACAAGCGCTTTATCATCCATCCAGCAGTTTAATTACATTGGACAAGGCGGTGAAGAAACACCATATCATAGTGATGGGAACTATCCGATAGAAACAAACGATTCATCTGGTTGTTGCGCGCCAACCGATTCATCCGATGGTTACTTTAATATTCATCCGGATGAACTATCCATTTTATCACTTCCGGACACTTGCGAATCAGCCGAATCAACTAGGTATCTCATCTGTCTGTAAACCGTGTTTCAAGTTTTCATTCAATTGTAAAACTATCCGTGTCACATTTTCATTTTGTTTAACTACGAATTATGTAGTTATTTGACAACTGAAACTGTTCTTTATTAAATGGCGAAATGAACTTTTTTTGGTAGGCCTATATGAGTTAACTTTTTTACCTTATTTATCCACAAAGGAGTATTAAATGGATTATTTATTCATCCATTCTCTGGTGTTCATGCTCAGCACAACAGTAGCTTAAATGCACTCGCGCAGATATGATTAATTACGCAGTTTAAATTATGAAGACTTTATTAATTTGTACAAACAGCATTGATACATTTTTTACGTAAAATTATTACGTGAGTACCAATTAATATCCAATACCGAGTGGTCATAATTTAAGACACATGAAAAGATTAAATAATTGACTCATCCTTAAATAGTGAATAACAAACTTTAAGAAAACATGAATTATTTATTTTAACATTTCAACGAATGAAAAAAAAAATATATCTATATATATAAAATCCAATGTATGTTTGTTTGTATGTATGTTTGTTTGTTTGTTTGTTTGTCCTTTAAGGACTCCGAAACCTTTTGACAGATTGTAATGAAACTTTCAGGCATTGTTAAGCATTATTCAAGGACGGTTTGTGTGAAGTTTGGTGCAAATCCGTCAAAAGGGCTCCGCCCCAGTGGCTCTGGAGTTTCCCATGTTAACCTTATGAGTACTCATATTTAAATGAAATTAAAGAATCTTATCAGCTGGTTCAACTAAACAATTTGATTCTGTGATGTTCAATAGCATTAAAAAGTTAGGCTAATAGGTTTACCAACAGGGTATAGCACTATTATTTTTTTTTTTAATTTATGACAACAGTTAATTTGCAACCAAAAGGTGAGTGAGCGTAGTGAACGTACTTCAACTTGGAGGAGAGTTAGCGTAGCGAACGAGCTAACCTGAAGGCAAGTGAGCGCAGCGAACAAGCTCCAACCTAAAGGTGAGTGAGCGTAGCGAACGAACTTCAACCAGGACGTGATTGAGCCATGCAAACTCGAGCTCATCTTGAAAATGAACGAGCATTTGACATAAAACCACATTAGGACAGGACGACGTCTGTCGGGCCAGCTAGTTTATTATAAAAATGAAATAATGTAGAAGAGTAATTTTCTAACAGTACAAGTTAGTTCTTTAATCATGCAAAACATATATTTATCTATTTATTCACGCACAGGTAAATTCTCCGAAACATGCCGCTGGATAGGAACGCCAAATGCCACAATACCTACCAAAACTATCTATCTGATCAGGTGCGCAAACTGATGGTTTATCCATTCATTCTTTAGTCGGATAGTTTTATCTGTCTCCGGAAGCAGCACGGACGCTCCCCACCCCACTACACTATAAACCATCAGATGAATCATCCATCTGAAGACTATCGGACTATCGTTTGTCCCATCACTAGTTCTCTCTTCGTAACGTTGTAAACACTCACCTCGTCGTGCATACAGTCAGAAACCGTGTAATGTGAAAGAAACATAGAATTGGTATAAAATCCTAATATTTTAACCGGTTGGCAAAAGCCGTATAGGTAGTGTGAAAGGAGGGTTAACCAAAAATACAATATGGTAATCTTTATTCATAAAATTTAAGTAGTTACTCTTTGGTTCATGAAATAGTGTAAGATAGGCTACTTGAATGTTTTTTGCTACTTAATTTAAAAAAGAAACATTGTCAATCTATGCTAAACTGTATGATCCATTTAATAATTGAGCGGAGCGAGCGAAGCTCTTATACATCGACTCTTATGCATTTCGTAATACGCAAACTCCTCCAAGACGGCTGAATCAATCGTTTTCAAATTTTGCATAGTGATAAAGACCATATCGGTGAGTGCCAACATCTATATGGCGTTACAAAAGTCTCTCAGGAATCCGCCCCACTGCGTCTCAAAGTTTCAATGTAATCCTTATGGAAGCAGTATTTGACACATAAACAAAAACATATGATCAGCTATTGACTTTTGAATGCAGTAGATAAAGAAATAGCTGATAGCATTAATCCACAGATATTAGAACAGAAACGGTATGGATCATAAATTATAATCAAATGACGACACTAGCTTCAGGTTTGTGACGTAGGAAGTGGTGAAGGAAGTAGTAAATGCCTGGAGTGTGGAAACTGTTTATGACGATTAAATTGAGGTATCTGCATTCCTAAAATTCTGTGGGAAGGGAGGAAAACGGGTCCGTGACGTAGGAAGTGGTGAAGGAAGTAGTAAATGCGAGCTGTTCAGGGTATGGGACATGTTCATGACCATTAGATTAAGGTATTTGCAATCCTAAAATGCTATGGGAAGGGAGGAAAACAGGTCCGTGACGTAGGAAGTGGTGAAGGAAGTAGTAAAGGCGAGTTGTCCGGAGTGTGGGATCTGTTTATATGACCAATTGATTAAGGTATTTTCAATCCAATAATGCTAAGGGAAGGGAGGAAAACAGGTCCGTGACGTAGGAGGTGATGGGGGAAATAGTAAAGGCGGGTTTTTCGGAGTTAGGGAACTGTTTATGATGATTAGTTTAAGGTATCTGCAATCCTAAAATGCTATGGAAAGGGAGGGAAACAGGTCCGTGACGTAGGAAGTGGCTTAGGAAGTAAAGTATGAGCATAGTGTGAGAACCGTCTGTGGTAGTTAGATTAATGTACCTTCAATCCTAAAATGCTATGAGAAGGGAAGGAAACAGGCCCCACGACGTGGGAAGTGGTGAAGGAAGTAGTAAAGGCTGGCAGTGCAGAGTGGGGGAACCGTTTGGGCAGTTAGATAAATGTATCTAATACTTAAATGCTATGAGAAGGGAAGGAAACAGGTCTATGACGTAGGAAATGGTGAAGGAAGTAGTAAGGCTTGCAGTGCAGAGTGTGGGAACTGTCTTTGGCAATTACATTAATGTGCAATGCTAAAATGCTATGGGAAGAGACTGTAGACTGTAGGTTAAAATGATTAAAAAGCACGAATAGATACATATTTTGATACATGCAATCGGTTACAATAGAAAGTTACAACTGAGTTCACAACAGCTGATTTTTACTCCATAGAGGCCTAAAACTATGTTTACTCCCTAAAGAGTAAAAATGCCACTTTAGACCCGCAACGCATGCATTAAAAACAACTGTTTTTACTGCAGTATGACAAAAACAATATAATATGAACCCTTGATGACTCCGCTCAATTTTGTGGATGCCTCTGCAAACACCACCTAGTAATTAATCCATTTATTAATTAATAGGCCCACAATTATATTAATTTGTTGGACTATAAAAACAAAATAAAAATGACTTTCTATAAAAATGATTACAGAAAAATCCTCTAAGATGCATGTTTTTGTTTTTGTCTAGTATGTAACTATATATCTGAAATTCATGTTATATTTTATAAAATGTTTTGTTTCTGAAGGTGTGGAAATACTTGCTGGTTTTCAAGAGGTACACTCTCTACCATCCAGATTTTCCAAAGACATTATTTTATTCTCCCCTTGTTCGCCTGAAGAAAACCAGTTGTTTGCTGCTGCAATTGAAACTAAGCCTGAAGAGACCCTGCAAGATACTGAACTTGTGCTCTATAAGTACCAAGTATGTTGTTAAATATTAGAATCTATTATACCCTTCTATAAAGCCCCGTTCCCACCAACCGAACATGTCCACTAAACACTGTTCGCGAACTTAAAAAACGGACGAACATTCCACAATTAATCGGTCGAACATTTTAAGTAGCTCACGGACTGTTTGCTTAAAGAGATCTGGTCATTTTGATTAGTTGGCGATCATGTGTAGTGATGAGTACATCTACACAGCATCATCGTTATTTAGCGTGCATAGCAGCTGCTCATTTGCTCTTGTGCTTTTGTCGACCTCCTCGTTGGTGGCAGAGACAACTGTTTAGAGGAAGAAATACGTGCAGTGACCATTTTCGTGCAGAACTGACAGCTAGTTGCTTATCCACGAATTTTACAAGGGTGTGTAATGAGAATTTTGAATTACATATCACTAATTGGGCCAACTATTTAGAAACAAGATACTTGGTTAACTGATTTGACAATCAATACAAAATTAATACAAAATACTAGTCTTTCAAAAAACACAAACAAATGCCAAACTTCACTAGGAACAATGAAAACTATACTAGCTGCAGTGCCAGATTTAAGGTACTTGCGGCCCTAGGCCAAATTAATTGAGTGGCTCTCAACCCTGTGGTGGAATTCCCTTTAATAGCGGTGAAATCATAAGAATCTCCCAGAGTCATCATGATCATCATCACAAGCGAACATGAATAATATCGTGAACATCTCCAGCGGGCCACAATCACAGGACATCATCATCGACACTTGCAGCCGCGACAAAATCGTGAACTTCACCCACGAGCCGCAATCATGGGGACATCATCATCGACACCCATGACGGCAAAGAAATCATAAACATCCCTTTGGGCCACAATCACGGGGACATAACCGTTGACACTCGTGACTACGGCCAAATCAGGGATATCTCCCACAGGCCACAATTGCGGGACATTATCATCGTCATTCACGATCGCGGAGAAATCCCTAACACTTACCCGAAATCAAGGGGATATTGTCACCGACACCTGCAGCCGCGGCAAAATCATAAACATTTTCCGCGGGCCACAATCACGGGGATATCATCATTGACACCTTCGGCCGTGGTAAAATCATGAACATCTTCCGTGGGCCGCAATCACGGGGACATCATTATCGATTCCCGCAGCTGCGGAAAATCATAAACATGTCCCTCCGGCCGAAATCACGGGGTCGCAGCAAACAAATGGTCAAAAAATTAAAATTTGTTTGAAAAAATATTTTTGTTATTCCTCTGCGGCCCCCTTTTGTTTGCAAATCCGGCACTGACTAGCTGCACGAGGAGAAACGTGATTTCAACTGAAATGTTCGGTCTAGGAGCGAACTTTTACAGCCAACATTCGGTTCCCATCACGACAGTCAGAATGTTCGAAAAGGCGTCTCCACCAAACAATGTTTGGCTGAAATAGGTGGAGACGCGGCTTAAGTATAATCATAGATTAAGTATCATATTTCTCCTTTACTATTCCTAGTCAATGGTACAGTAAAAAAAAGTGATTACACCAAAGTAGCCATATAGAATTAAAATACCCCCGCCACAGCAAACCTACCGACTAAGCGAATTTCTATTTGTCTTAATTGATTTTCAAATTACTGATTAAATAACATAAATAACTTCTGGGTCCAGAATCCACCCGCTTGGGATCTATTCTCTGTGTACTTAGTAGTAGCTCTACAGTGTGGAGATGTTTTAACCATGGCTAATGTCTATGTTTCCTCAGGGAGATGACTGGGCAGAGTCTCACAGAGTGAAGGCAGCTGGAGGACAGAACATTGCTGTGGAACACATTCAGGACTCTGTGTACCTCGTGGTGGCTCAGAAATTGGCCGACCCAGATTTGGGCTCTACAGTCTGGAGGCTAGTGCCAGGCTCAGACAAGCTGCAGTTCACACACATGCTCAACACTCGTCTCGCTTCCCACGCCATCATGTGGTAGGTACAGTCATTTAGGGAAGTATTGCAACATGCTGATTGAACAGCAAACCAAAGGTAGTTGAGGTTATAGCACATTTGACTGATTGGATTTATTTATTTGGCCATGGCACAAAGAGTGTGTATAATAAAATTGAATTAGGGATACAGAAGAGATATCCTATATAGGTAGTATATATGTAGACTACACAAGGGTAGTTTTTTTTTAAAGAGCCGGTTTTTTTATAAAACCGTAGTTCACTTGTATGCCGCAACGAGGCTCATCACTACTTACTGGCATCACTTGTGAACAGAATGTCATAAATTGCAGCTCTGTAGCTGTCATGTACGCTTCGCTGTTTGTTTTTTAATTTGTTCAATCTCCCACCACGTCCGAGGTAAGGTCAGTAATACAATTTTTGATTACGATTACAAGATATGCTGTAGTTAACATTAAATGGTTGTATTATTTTCACTTTGGTAAAAAGTTGGTGTTTGACAGAAATAATTAATTTACATAAGGTTTTTTTTACTGGTCAGAACCTTAACAAGGGGATGTAATGGGGTGTCTAATTCTATCAGTAATTAAAGGTATACACAAAAATAGTGTTAAATGAATATCAGATGATAGTTTCATAACTGACTAAGGACAGCTGGGGTCCATTCTCATACAATTCAAAAAGCTTCAGATTTTTCTCAGGAATGAACTGGAAACCTTGTAAATAATAGGCAAGTACCGAGCACCATATACCCAATCAGACAACTATCAGCTAAGCTCTGTTGATACGAGTTAATAATAATGTTCTCTTTGAGAGTTAAAGCCTTGGTCACAGATGGTAATACAGTACCAGTAACGCAAGCAGGAAATAATGTACCGTTTGGGCTAGAAAGGTAATGTTTTATGACAGACATGTTAAGATTGATCGATCAATCTTAACATGTCTGTCGTAAAACATTACCTTTAGTAAAGCATTATTGTCCAGGCTTATTTGATATGAGGTAGGCTACAGTAGAACCCCTCATATACAACTTCAGCATAATCGACTCCTCGGTATATCTGACCAAGTGTCCAACCGTCTACCGGTACTTGTTACCTGATAGGCAATAGCACCGAGCGTGTTTGGTTAAGCGAAAGGATCACGGGTGTTGCGGTTATCGAGGGAAAAAATTACCAGTGTCTCCGAGACCGAAGGGGAATCTCCCAATATAGTTCCGACCATGCCCCGGTCCCGTCATGATCGGATATGAGCGGTTCTACTGTATGTAGGATAATAGTATTTTGATAAAGCGTAGAATATCTTTGAACTTCCTACCTATATTGTCTGTTAACTACTTTTGCTGTTCTACTTCAATTCAAATACAATTATTGTTTTGCATCCAGAGAATTCAACAAGTTTTATTTGAGATTACAATAAAATAGTTGTTTACAGGACAGATGCATACACCTATGCTGCTGTGACAATTTCTGAAAATCCAGCTGGATCTCCAAAACCATATTCCACCCTGAGTCCTGTCTACCGGTGGCTTGGGAGCTCTTTTGACATGATTGACACTTTGCCTACTTACAATCCTCGAGCTATTGTACAGTTCAACATTCGGAGTTCTGTATTTATTGCCGTTGCTAATTACCAAAATGATTATGGTAAGTGTATAGCAATAACTTTTTATTTTGTAATTTTAAAACTGAACACTGCAAATAACAGGAAAATGTTAATTGAGAACTTGACTTGAACATTGGATAATTATACAAAGCAGGCCCAAACATACAAAGCAGAGCCATGGAACTAACTTTACTAAATCACAGTTTTATCACAAAAGGGATACTAGAACAAATACTTTAATGGTTCTTAAATTAGTTACAATCAAGAGCAATCTGGTCTAGTGATAGATCAGGGGGCTTTAGAGCCCGAGATTCCAAGTTAAAATCCCGCCAATCACCAATGGATTTTATCCATGTGATAATTGCACGCAATTCTTGATGACAAGCTTGAAGTTAGTAATGTGTGAAACAGTTCTGGGCTTGAACATAGCGTCCTAAAATATAAAGGTGGGACCAACAAAATGTAATGTCAACATAGGTATTTTAGTTCAGGACTATGCAATCACCCTTTTTTTCAATAGGAAACAAAGAAGAAGGGGCTCCAAACTGCTCAACACCATGACACCACCGGTTGCTCACGGTTAATAACGGCCTTAGTGGCAATCCTTGTAGAAAGCTTTATTATTTAACTGTTAAAGGACAAACGTATTCACTTTAAAGACTTATCCTAAAACAATCCTATAAATTTATATTTGAAAAAAATAAAAAAATATCTCTTGTAGCCTACATAGAATAAGATTACACTTAGTTAAACGTATGTACACATGTTCACTGCTATTTTTATTTCAGTGAATTTTAAACCATACATTTCTACAACAGGAAAATTGTAACCAACATACCCTTTCAACTTTTCATCTGCAGGTGAGACAATGATTGACTCGGAGATTTTTCGATATGACTTAATGTCAGGCAAGTTCCATGTTTATCAGAAGCTTCCCACGGAGGCAGCAATCGACATCAAGTCATTCTGTTATCAGAGCAATCAGATATCTGAGAACTTCCTTATCTACGCAAGTGCATTCCACACTGGTAATATGCAAACCTTGAATTATAGACATAAAACGATAAAACACTAACTAGAGTTTTACAAAAAACAGACTATTGGTTGCAAACAACAGAACATGCAGTATTTGTAAGTAAAGTACAGTACAAACAAATTAGACTATTAGGATGAAGAGTTACTTTTTTGCACCTATTGGTTTGGTGAATTAACATTGTAATTGCTGTTTATTTTCACTTTAATACTCTGCAAATTGAGTTGGGAGATAATTTATTTATACTAAAACGATCATTTTAAGTTGAATGCAGAATAAATACCCACTCATTAGCAGTAGAGTAGTGTAAATAAGTGGTCATTGTGTTTGGCAAATTGATTCACTTCTTATCATTAAATTAAATGTTTTCTTAAACTTATTAGTTTAGGTGTCAAAGTATCCCTTGTAAAACATCCTCCCCTGATTGTTTTGTTTTATCCTGATCTATTGTGAAGATGAGAAGGGAGTCAGGGACTACAACTCACCATCAGTGGTCTACAAGTTGTCTGATGAGGAGATATTTGTACCTTTCCAAGCCTTGCAGGTCTCTAAGGTTACCAGCTGGCTGCCAGTGGAACATGTCAAGGTCAGTACAGGGGTTAAAAAACAACATATACAACTTAACGTAAAAAAATGAACATAATTTATATCGGTTTTGGCCTATGATATTGGTGGTTGTCTTTTTTTTGTTAATGACCACTGTCATCAACTATGCCCACAAACCATTTTATTAAATTTCTTCATTATAAGCCAAACGTTGATGTGTGTCATTTAGGCAATATGAAACCGTTTATCCATTAGCCATGAAAATTTGTGAAGTTGTTCATACTATTACTAAGCTATTAATATTTTACTAAAAACACACTTAGTTACCCTTACTGTAGCAGCAAACATAAGTATTTGTTAAACCTATCGTTATTGAGGTATTAGATCTTACATTTTTAAGGAATGTTTCATTGAAAATATAATCAGACAAATGTAAATTCATTAGTGTGCACGTTTGCTGCAGCGAGGTATTATACTGGGTATTGATGTTAAAAGTTTACTTTTTTTGTATCACAAAACTGTTCAAATAAACCATCAATAAATCAATTGGGAATTAGATTAGTCTGCAAATATATTATGTAATAGAGATTTTTTATATCAGTATTTTTAAAAGGAGTGGACATAGATAAGGAAAGTAATATTAATGTCACAGTCATTAAAACAGTGCACAACCTAGGTGAGTTTAAGATCATAGGTACCAGCATATCCCATAAAATTGAGTACAACAGTCAACAATATTGGGAAATGTAGTGTAAAGAAAAGACAATTGATACAATATTGTGTTTCATGCTGGACATGTCTGAGACATACAGTATAGAGATTTTGCTACAATGCAAATTTTATGGACAATGCCACCTGTTTAATAGCTACACTATTTACTCTATATGTGACGATAAAGAGATATCTATTTATTAGCGAATTTCCCATATAGGGAATAAGCTATTATTGTAGGTCTCTTGGTAAGACTTGGACCCGGGACCGATTTACTTTTTCGTTTTGAGGTCCCCAGAGGTCAAAATCACTATCCGTTCAAATTCATATATGAACCCCCCATAAACCCCCTGTTCCCGTGGTCCGATCATGCTGGTTCGCGAACTCGTTCGAATAAATGTAGGTTTACACGTTTATACCAAATTTAATCAAAATCGGATAATTTTTGTTTGAGTTATCGTGCTAATGGACACATATACATATGAATTTGAACGGATGGTGATTTTGACATCTGGGGACCTCAATAAGAAGTCAACCTTGATGAAAAGTCTTATTTAATAATCCCCATGAGAGTCTTGTTATCGAGGTGCTGTGTATATATATAATTTCAACCCCACTATAATTTTGACCCATTACAGTTGTGATGTTTATTTCAGGATGGTATAGAGAGTTTGACCCTTGTAGGAGCTAGTGAGGAAGGTATCATCAGTTTCCAGTACGATGGTTGGCGCTTTGTACCCACAGGTCTCCACATGGACACCACCACCTTCAGCCCTGGACCCAAAGCACTCAACGTCTTCTACTACAATGACAAACCATTCATCAGTAAGTGTTTAGATAAAGCTCATCTACTGCTTGGATGTGATAATAGTCCATAACTGATTTCCCGAATAATTTGCTGCTGAGATTTTATTTATATTTTAGCTATTCGTTCATACATTAATTCCAAAACGGATCAGTTTAATTCAGATAATGTATTATTTAGATCCTATGTCTTTGAGTTTTGTAAACAATTCTGAAAATGATTGTTGTTTATTGGCAAATCCAAGGGAAGAAGCAAAGCAAGGAACATTACCTTCTGCCATTCATTTCCTTGTTATACATCCCTGGTGTTGACTGTCTATATCACTTTTTGTGTTGTCATAAAAATATCTAAAACTCAAGTGAAATAAACAAATCTGTATATTAGAATTGTGTTTTATTTTATTTATTCTTTTTTTTTCAAGACAGAACTTTTAAAGAGGATTGAAAAGTAATTTAATCACAAAGATTTTTAACTGTCAAAGATTTTAGTCAGCAAGGTAACGTACATATTTCAGAAGTGGCCAAAACATAATTAGTTTAAGTAACTAGTGAGGTTTAAGATTTGTAATACATTTTGGTTTTCAAGGTGTGGCAAACAGGTACAGCAGTGGGTACGAGATGAATGTGTTCAGTCCATTTTTTGAACACCATCCTGGCGTTGAGAATTTGCAGAGGACAATTTCCGATTGGGTGCTAGACATGACCAATGATATGATTGAGGGAGAAGCAAAGATAAATGGCCTTACCAGAATTGCCCAAGAAGCACCGTCAGTTGGTGATTCTGTTATTAAACTTGGTTCTCATGCTGTGTTCAGAAATGCTGAGATTCACAGACTTGAAACAATCATGGTGAGAGTAATTTTCTTTATTTTATATTAAGAATAGCTGATAAGAATAAATAGTTTTACTCATATATTTAATTTCAATATCTTTATTCAATTGCACACTCTACATTGAAAGTCATTATTCTTAACGTAGTACAGTAAATACAGCTGTGAAGCCGTGTTCACACCAGTAGAGCAGGCAGGTTACTTGTCTCTAATGTATTTCACCTGAGGCAAGTAACCTGTCTGCCAACTGGCCTCGTGTAAACCCACGTTTACAGGCTAAAACCTTGTTCAACATTAAAATGTATACTGTACATAAGAAACAAATAAATAAAATTAAGCTAATTTAGGAAACGCCTTTAATGGAGTAAGGAGCCATTTCTATATGATAATTTTGTAATTATTTCTTAAATTTAATGCTGCAAAGGGTTTTTAAATCATTTGTAAGCAAACGTAAGATTTTTCTCCTGTAACAGGTGGGCTTTTTATTTGAAAGGAAAAGGTGGCTGCGACTATTTTCTCTTTGGGCTTTTCCTCTAGTATTGTAGCATAATTGTGCGTTATCCAGTAAACTTTCCTTAGCATTAAGAGCCCTTTCAAAAATGTATTGGCCAAAGACTGTTATTAATTTAGAGTTTTTTTAATGAATTTGAACTTTTAACAATTTTCCATAGAGCGAAAATAGGGAATAAGCTATTACCGTAAGTATCATGGTAAGACCTGGACCCGGGACCGATTTATTTTTTTTGTTTTGAAGTCCCCAGAGGCAAAAAACACCATCTTTCAAATTTATATATATATGTATATATAAATATATATATATATAAATAAATATATAAATATATATATAAATATATATATATATATATATATATAATACATATAATATATATATATGTATATATATATTTATATACGAGGGCTAACCAGAAAGTAGATTACGTTTTTGTCTGTATCCGCTAGGGGTGGGTCTAGCACGACCATCTTGGTGTTAGTTCGTTATGCAGCTCAGTCAGCATCTATCTGTGCTAGTAAGAGGTTTCTGCTGTACTATGTTGGTTTACTGTGACAGTTTAAAATGTATGTGTTAATTGAAAATGCCGCGAACTGTGAAGTGCGTGCAAAAAAAATCAATGGACTCTTTGGTTACAGTTTGGTAACCAAGCTTTTCGGTTATGATCTTGTGCAACAAACTTTGCGAAATTTGTGGAAAACCCATAGAAAGTTCTGTTATTGTGAACTTTTGGGTTTTTTTATGGACATCGGCATTGACTTTTTCAACAAGTTTGGCAGTCACAATGCTGGGTCTTCCACTTCGCTCTTCGTCGTGAACGTTAGTTCGGCCATTTCTTAATTTGATGACCCACTGGTGTACTCAACCTTCAGTAATAATGTTTTCCCCATAAACTTAACAAAAGTTGCCGATAGATTTCTAAAAGCCTTATAACTGCACGCACTTGACAGTTTGTAGCATTTTCAATTAACACAGGCATTTCAAACTAACACAGTAACTCAACGGAGTACAGCAGAAACCTCTTACTAGCACGGCTAGTTTCTAAGTTTCTGCATTCTCCAGGGAATTAAAAGTGAAGAAAACTGAACAGCTGTGTTGCACCAGTGCAGCTGAATTTAGTGGAGAATTGTGGCTGAATGCCAATTCTGGGGTACGAAGGCACCCTCTTGAAGTATTGCAAACTGTGTTTCTGAGAAGGTTTCCATTGCCTGGACTGATAGGTTTTTAGTGGGTGAGAGTCCCACACACCAGGGTAAAAAAAAATTTTTAGACCCTGACAGCATAAAGCAATTTTTTATTTGAGTTCTAGTTATGTATTACCCTTTGCACATTTTGCCAGCTTGTTTGGCATCTACAGAGGATCTACTTATGCTATTACACTAACACTAACACTATTGTCAATATTTACAATTATCACACACGTCATTATCACTCATTTTTCGTGGTCAAGTTACGCTATGACGACACACTGTGGAGTCATGCTGGCTGCAGATTTTTTATTCCTCCATTCGATGGAGCTTCAGAAAACAAAAACTCCAATTACATTCAATTTCAATGGCTATTTATAGATCATTATACCGATGTTATTATTTTTTTAATAATAAATTATTGCAATTTGACAGACCAAAGTAGGAGACTCCAGTACAGATGATGAGGTTTACAGCCAACTATACACACTAAAAAGTCAACTTGATAGGTTGAAAAGTACTTTGGAAGGATTACCTGTTAGAATTGATCAAACAAGCTATCATACAAACACGGTATATGAAGGTATGTATACGTATTCATCATTGGATTGGTATGTATTTCATCATTGTAAATCTTTGTATAACAAAATAGAGGTTCCACAGCACATTTATAGGTTTTGGCAGATGTTTACCAAGTTAAACTAACACATTTCATAATTTTGCATGCTCTCTATAATTAAAGATTTTTTAATACTTAACAGCATGCAAACTGAGTACTGCCTCTAAATAAATATCTTAATCAGTAACCCTTTCCACTCATATGTTGTGGTGGCCTCGATATCAGTCTCTGAAGGTTCCACACATTGGTCATTAGTAAGATTTGGATTTAGGTTCTTCAGGACAGAAGTCTCGCAAGCTAACCACAGAACCAGCAACACTTTCTCAGATTAAACGGGGCCAATGTACTGGATAATGATAATAGTGATGCAGATTACTATCCCAACCCACACTATTACTTCCGTAATTCCAAAGCAAGAATTGTAAATCAAGGTTTTGATAGTGATATTTCTAAGTTAGAATTCCTTTTATTTTAGGTAATTAATTAATAGTTATTATTTTTGTTTGACCTTTTGTTCATTATGGATGGCTATGATGGTAAATATACTGTAATACTATCATATTAATGTTAATCTAGTAAATCTAGGTTGTCATACTTGTGTTGATTATACCACAGTTTTTTAGTGTTACAATTTAAAACTACAAACAATACTTATTAATTTTTTACAGTTTTATTTTCATAGTTTTTATCCTTATGTGGTTGATTCTATAATCAAGAACATCCAAAATGCACAAGTTCTGTGTTCTAGACACATTTGAAGAGTCAGCTGAGATAACTTGTACACATTCCTGCCATGCACACGATCTGGAGGTTACCAATGTAAACAGTGAAAACTTGTCAGAGTTCCTGGCAAATACTGTCAATATAAAGGAAGATGTGGAGTTCTCAGGAGATGTATCCTTCAAAGAGTTGGCTTTGATTGAACCGTTGAAAACAAAGACGGTTAATGGTCATAGTGCAGAAACATTGATTGACTGGTCGAAAGAGGTCAATCTAGACCATAAACTTAAGGTATGTATGTATGATAAGTTAGGCATGGTTGTTGTTTGGGTGTGACTGTTTGGCGAAGAATGTATGAGTTATATTGTTCAAGTATTATAAACCTTGGGGCTACTTCAAGGCTTACACACAGTTACTTTTTATGATACGTAGCACAGGCAATAACCCTTGCCTACAACAAAACTAAAACCCAACAAATTATACAAACAAAGAACCAGAGAACACACAAATATTAACAACAGCCAAAAGTAGAGTAGATTAGAACAGTGTTAATAATTTAGTATAAAACAGAAACCCATAAGACCTAAACCTAATCTAAACCTAATCTAAGATCTAAACCCAATTTTTATTTACCTTTAAGAGTCCTCGGGCTCCAGCTCTTACAACAAACCCCGTTCTCACCTCATTATCCGATAGCTACACATCAAACTACACCCAAAACAAGTAAACTGACCTACTTAAAGCTACAGCCTTTTATAGTTCAGCACAATAAAATTTTTGCTCATTAGGGCCCCTGAATGATGATGAGTAATTTCTCATAGCTCTAAGACTCTAGAAGTGACAAAATAATTAGCGCATGTATGTGTTTTTTTCTTTCTTTTTTTTATTTGCAACTTACAAAATTTACATAATCTTGGAACATCCTTGCATGAGGTATTACATAAAAATGTTATAAAAATATTCGTAACTTATATATACTTATATTTTATATTTTTACAGTATGTTTGATAGCTTTAGTTTTTTCCGTTTTATATTTTATTTGTTGACTTAAGTTTGTCAGAAGTGGTTGTTGTAGGATGCCAGAATTTGTACAACTGAAATCTTCATTGAGGTTGAATGCTCATTAAATACACTATTAATTAAATATTCCAAACCGAATAAGAGACAAAGAGTTCAGAGAAGCCAATTGTGTTGCAGGTTGAAGGTGATGTATTGGCTGAAGACTCAGTTGAGGTCTCAGAAGCAGTGGATGGGGTCTTGATCAATATTATTAAGGAAGATATTTTTGAACCAGAAGGTAAGTTATGAAATTCATAATCATCCAGCTACCTACAGCAGTTTTAAACATGGCCACACTTTTTTATAAGTTTTATAAATATTAAGTGTTGAAACAGATAAATCCTTGTTAAAACCTATCATACTCAGCATATGATAAGGTTTTAGTACAGAATCACTCTTTATAATAAGATTCAGCTCATGCAATGTAAACCTTAGGAACACTACTGAACTTACAAGACAGATCAAGCCCTTGTTGTAATATAGTTGACCTTTCCAAAATGTTGATAGAAACATCTAGACAATTAAATATTTTTACTGCATCGCATCTCACTCCATTCTATACTTATTTTTTTCCGTACCGATACTCAAATTCAGCTAAAAATATGCAACATTTCTGATTCAAAGATATTACGAAGCAAGAATAATGGTTTCCATCCTATTAGACCAAAACCATTTAAATAAGTTGGGATTCCAATATTCATTTTGGTGGACTATGTATGCAATGTAATTTGGATTGAATTACACTAGATATCAAATTTTTAGAGTTGTTTTAATATTTTAAATTTAAATTGTAAAAATACAAGTTTTGTTCCTTATATGAACTATAATTGCTGTTAAATCTTTATTTGGTCAACAGTTATTGTTTCACCTACGGCTGATCTTGAGTCGCTCAACACTTCTCAACTGATTCTCTCGGATGGTAAAATGTCTGAAGTGGATTTTCAATACTTTGTAGTGTCATCTCTAAAGACAGTAGGTGACCAAAGTTTTTCAGGTAAGTGAATCAAACAATATTTACCCAAATTTAAAGGTTCACTTATTTGAACTAATTAAGGTACTACACATAAATAAATTAAACACACTCTCCTAGTAAACAATTATCTATATTATATAAGTAATTTTGGACTTGGGTGCAGGGGGGTTATTTATTTGGTTGTCAAACAGAATATTTAGAAACTAAGCAAATTTAAGGGAAATAACATTTCATACCCACCATAAAGACTCATAAAGACTCTAAAGGCACAAATTATAAAGCAAGTGAAAAACTAGTTTGAGAAGAGAGCCAGAGTTCTGAGGGAAAGCAAAGGGAGAAGAATAGTGTTGGTACTGTATGCTACAATATACTTGCAACAACTATACTGAAACTGAAAAAAGTTGAACTAGAAATCTAGGCTCCGAGTGACAACGCGGACAGAAAAGATTTCTCTGGCAAGTTAATGTAGTGAGAACTAAACCATCAATATATAGATGGGACCAAATACTTTAGACATGTTTTTTTTTTTTAGAAACAAAACATTATTAGTGAGTAACAGTATTAGTGAGTTGTGTCTGACGTCTGGTTGCATTATAGTTTGCTATGTATTTTGTCACTCTGTTGGTTCTTCATACCCCAATAGTCTGTAAACTGAGTAATAAATGTCTATGCCAATATTGTTCACGATCCATTTTATTAAATATGTAAAACTGTAGGTTGCATTGCAAAGTAGGTTTTAAACTCAAATTCATTGATCAACAATCACCACTGTCAATTGTGTTAGTGTTTGGTGGAATTGATAATGTTTGTGTCAGTGTTTCAAGACATAGAGAGGATCACAGCAGAAGAGGTGGCTGCATCGGATCTGTTCAAGTCTGTTGCTTCACTCCCAACAATGTCTCAGCGAAGCAGATGTACAGATGAGGTACATACGAGTAGGTCCCACAGTATCAATTGATGACTGTATAAAAACATGATTCAAAAAACAACATCTTTATTTGATAAAACATATTGTGAAAAGCACACTCTAAATCTGTAGGTTTGATGGATTTGTTTTGGGTTTGTTGTGAAAAGCAAACTCTAAATCTGTAGGTTTGATGGATTTGTTTTGGGTTTTTTCATTCCTGGTCTAGTAGTTGATTTCTATTGTTCAACTTACAGCAATCTAACATTGATGAAGATATTTTTTAGGAATTTCAACTGATGAGATAATAAAACACACAATAAATTGTAGTTGTAGCTTATACTGTGACGGCTCACCCATTGCTTCTCTTCTACCTTCTACCTTCTACACACAGGGCAAGGCCTATTTAGACAGGCAAATGCAAGGTTGTAAAAAAGCTATTGATCTGTACTGTATTTCAGTCAGGAGGAAATAATACACATACCTTCCTAATCCAATTGACTTAAGCACAGATGCTGGATCAGTACTCAAATATCTCTAGTGCCAGGACAGTAAAGGAGAACTAAAGTGTAATTGCAAACAAAAACTGTAACTTTACAAAACCCACATTGGTTACTATTGTTGTAGAAGTGTTCTGATGAGGCTGATGAGAAGTCCCCAGATCCTGAGCTGGGCATCTCACAACCAACTTCTGGAGGCAGATCAAAGAAGATAGAATCCATTAATCTCCTTGATGATGTGATCATAATCCCACGTAAGCAATATTCCAATGTGTTGCCACTACCAACTCTCTATTATAAAGAATTAATTTCAGGGATATAACCTATTTCAGAGGTTATGGAAATCAAGTAACCCTACTTTGTAATAACTTTTAAATTTATTTCTTGACTTTTTAGATCTTGGAACTTTTCCTCTTGTTTTTTGTTTGTTAATTTGATTACTATGTTAATAAAATGTATCATTCTTATAGATTAAATTTAAAAGTAGCTTACACAAATTTCTTGAATGTCTATTTAGTATTTCAAAAAGAAAGATATAACACTTTAATAACTTAAAATTATAATAACTGATTCTACTTACATCTCTTTTTTTTAATTACTGACATGTTTTCATCTTGGTTCATGACTCATTTCACAGACTATGAAGATAACGCTTGAATATATTTTATAATTTCAACCTCAACATTATTACATTAGCAGTAATGATTATATCTTTTCCTCGGACACACATTTACATTATTTATCTCACTAGGGAGCATTGATATAGTCATATAGTAATTGACTTAATTGACTGATGGTTTTCTAGGTAATCTCACTTTATATGGAACAGTTATAGTAGAAAATGGTCACATGTCAGCAATAAATGATTTCAATGATTTGAAGCACAATATTTCTGCTGAAAAACTATTAGAATTCGGGATTCCTTTAAATCAGTTTGTAATTGATAAACATTTCAAGTTTACACAGGATCCTAAGGTAAGTAATAATTTTACCATGGTTTAATCAAATAGATCACAGAAAAGTAAAGAAGCCGAGGATAGATTCAATGGTACAATTACAATTAAGTGGTGTCGAGCACCAGTCGCTGGTGTCTTGAGCATATTCTATTCGTCGTCCCCTTCCGCACTCCATTCCCCCCTTGCCGTCATGTACTACAGCGCTCACATGGTAGGAAGACCCTGAGCGCTACAACTGGTGTACAAATATATACTATGTGGCCTTTGCCGTTTGAGCTCTTCCTTGCTTGATACTATAGTGGAATAGAACACAGAATAGGACCGAAACCAGTTCGAGTCGGGTGGGGCGGGGCATGCAGCATCCAATCAGCTTTTAGAAAACTGTCCACTGTTGCCAAGTTGTGCCACGCACTCAGTCTCTACCCGATAGCCGACCTGTGCGTTTCTAGTATGTTCCTGTTTTGTCAAGAATTTGTCTATGAACTGTGTTTCGCCCAATGAATACGGACAACAGTACGCGACGTGGACGACCACGAGTACACGTGAAACGTTTGCGATATCGTAACGTCGGACGTGGTGTTCCTTTACGTTCCTTTACGTAATGGAAATATCTTGATAGGCCTTTAAAAAAATGTCATTGTCCTTTAAAAATTTTATTTAAGTTTTATAAGTCAATATTTTTTTTGTAAATATCTTTATGTAACAATTTCTAGTGCAATGTAATAATATTTTCTAATAAAGATAGTTATGTCATTTTGGCAACAAACTGGCAGTTATGTTATCTATTTCCCTTTTTACCTGGTATGTTTTTTGGGGATTTCTAGAGTACCTACATTAGAAGTTTTTTTGTTGTTGTTATAGAAGAGTGAATATATCGTATGACTATTTTAATGAATGCAACACATAACGTAATGTATGTAAACGTTAGTTAAATTTTCTTAAATTCAATATAAAACTAACGGACTTTTTTGTCAAATCACAATATTACAGAAATGTTTTCGTCACTATTGAGCTACCTGTTCTCCGTAAGTTTAAGTTCAGTCGAGTGGCAATAATAAGATTAACGGAGTAAGGGTCACATAGGTGTTCAAAGAAAGACAGCTTTGGGGTAATTCCTAAACATTGACCAACTTCGTTTCCTAAACACAACCAAACTATTGCTGTAAATGTTTAATATGGAAGATTTTACCTTCTTCATTTCCATGTTAATTTGTTTTATGTATCAAACTATAAGCAGGACAACAATTTACAAGATTTTTAGAACTGCTATAAAAGTTTTTGGACCATATGTACTCATTTGCTCTTATTGTTACGGTGATTTGTTTAAACATTGGGGTTGACAAACGTTTGACTATAGGCAACATATTTCCAGAGACTTGTAAAGGTGACCCTATATAAAATGTATTTTCATTTTATATTTATTAATTGTATGTTAATATATTTTTCAAAAACTAAATCTAGTAGCTGTTTAAGTCATTAATTGTGCAAATAATCTATCAATAATCATGTAAGGGATGAATGTATCTTCCATGTGATATACACATGACAACACTAACCGATGCCGCCAAAAAATTAATAATTTGTAGTGTTAAACTACCCTACAAGTGGGAAGACAGAGTCAGAGGGATGCCCGCGCCCGCTCCCCGGCTCTAGGTGAAAGTCAGCTCACCAGCCAAGAACGAAGTGGCAACGTCGCATCCCCTACCTCCTCAGAGGCCAGTCCTATTCTGTATTCTATTCCACTATAGTACATTTCCGCCCCAACATACCAAAGCTAAAGCACACGGTTGTCCCATAAGCTTGAATCCTCTGTATCTTACTTCTCCGTGGTGAAACATCAAGCCATTAAGTACCTACTGCTAATTTGTAGGTAGCAGCAGCAATTATTTTCTTCACAATCAGTAAATAGCAGTAATACAAAAAATGTGCTTACTTGAGTTTGAAGTTTGATATTGTTGACTTGTCTTGTAACAGTTGAGAACTTGAACTGAGTAACTTTTGTTTTAGATCAATTTTTGCTTAGAATAAATGTTTCAAAATACTATGATAATAACCCATTGAATATTACAGACAAAAAAATCTGTAATTGGTTAGCTTTTGTAATGATTCCTAATTGTATCAAGAGGTTGAGGTAAGGGAATCAATCTTTTGAATACATCTACAGTGGAACCTCGATAAATTGAATCCCATGGGGAACAGGGAAATTTCAAATTATTGAGTACTTTGAACAATAAAGGTTCGATGTATCGAGGTTTATCCTCCCCAAAATTTTATTTATAGAGGTTTAATTCAGTCCAAGCAATAAACATCAGGAGAATTGATTGCCTTTATCTGTGCATTGTATTTGAATGGATAATAATGTAATGATAAAATTTAATACTTTAAAATGAAAGAAGTACTGCCCAACTCCCAATTAACCGGGATAAAGTAGGGTTGAGACTTCCCTGATACGTAAAATCATGGTTAGCCCACAAAATACTACAGTATTGAATAGGAAATGGTATTGAAATACAATACAGTAGAAAAGTATGGTAATTAATATATTTATAGTGCATTAAAACATAACTAAATGTTGTATTTGACAGGAATAATAATGAATACACACGTGACGCACGTAAATAGAAAGAAGATCTACAGTCTTTAAGATCAAATAAAATATTTACAAGACACAAACTACTGTGAATTAATTTATTTAAAAATAATCTGTTACAGTTTTCTATTTTTGAACAAAGAAGTATCTTTTTTGACCTTACTTTCATGTTTCGTAACACAAGTTTGTCTGCAATTGGAGCATTGTATTGCAAACGGGGTAAAAGGGGAGGGTCTATGACCATGAGTGGGCCAAGGCCTGGCTATGGTGACAGTGATTTATGGTTTGTTTACATCCTACTGCCCTTAAGACACTGCAGTTTCAAAAACATTGATTTACAGTTATAAAAATATTGACTTGTGTCGGCAATTAAATTAAGTTAGTTTTAATTTCAAACTGCTTCTTTGTTGAACCTACTCTACTGCTGAACTGTTCATAGCCATTTTTCAGTGGAAAGGTTATAGGTTATTATATTAACTTATCCTCGTAGGTCATTGTCTTGAACGAACGTTTTGCCATATTGGCTTATAAAACTCACTAGCTTTAAGCTCTCCAAAACAAAGGAGACACTGTATCTAAAGTACACGCACTTTCAAATCTCGCCCACGACTGAGATAGATTGCAACAAGAGCGGAAGTTGGACGGAATAATGTGTTGGTATTTCTTGTCGATTCGAAAATTCAGCGCAGTAAAATACATTATCAATGTTTTTAATCATAACAAATTTCATACCACTTCGATTAATAGAGGGTGTCTTGCTATTACTTAGAAGTGCGACAGTTGCAGGATTTCAAATTATAGAGTTTTTTGGACTAAAACTTCAATTAATTTATAGAGGTACTTTTACGACGGAAAATAAAACTTTGATTTATCAAGGTCTTTCTCGTGAACTATTCGAATTTTAGATGTGAAATTAACATTGCAACAGATAGGGAAGTTCAAGGGGAATAAATATAATTTGATTTATCAAGGAATTTGAATGATTGAGGTTCGATTTAATGAAGTTCTACTGTATAATCTGGTAAACAATTACAGGAATAAAAAAAATCATTATAAAATAAAGTTGATCATAGTATAACCCTTCTAAACACCTTTTACCCTACTTTAAATGTATCAATACAAAGTTCACTCTTTTGTTGTACTGGCTCACCCCTTCCTTAGCTTAATATGTTCCAAGCACAGCACTTTTACATCCATATGGACAGGCGAGTGTAAGGCCAACCCCTGTAACTAAGAGTATTACATTTGTAGACACCATCCCTCAACGTGGACACCATAAACTCTGTGGTTCTGGAAAGTCTGATCAACCTAGAGGAAGAAGAGTCTGTGAAGCTGACAGGGGAAAAGGTGTTCCTTGGATCACTAACAGTGGATGGAACACTTCATAGTTCTAATGAACTGAAGATTTCAGAACTTCTCAAATCTAATTTGGAGGATTTAGCAGAAGTCAACCTTGAATATCTTAATGTTACAGAGTAAGTTTTTGCATCTACATGGCATGATGTTGGCATGGGTAATCAATAATCATGCAAAGTTACAAGTTAGCACATTGCTGATTTAATAATAATCTTTTTTGCTTTCTAAGTTTGATAAATATGCTACATTTTCAAAGTTAACAATTGGTCAGCCAAGTGGTTAGAAATCTCGCCTTCAAATAAATCGGAAGATGTTGGTTCTTAACCCAGTTGCTAATTGTCATTTAAGTATTAATATTTTTTTGTCTATGTTTGTGGAATTTTTACAGAAAAGAATAATAATATCTTGTAAATGTGCCGGGTACGGGAATCCAACCTGTCCCTCCCGCAACAAATAAAGTCTGAAAGATTTATCATTTCTAGCATCAGGTGAATGTCTAAACCACGTTTGCCCCTTTAAAAAAGTAATAGGATTTTCAATTTTTATTCCAGGCTGATGGGATCAGTGGCGTATCCAGGGAGGGGGCCCAAGGGGGCCGGGCCCCCCCCCCGAATTTTTTTTTTTTTTAGTTACCCTGTACACACGGCACACGGGAGCGTTGCAATGCGCGTTCTAGAAACAGTCAAATGAGTGCGTACACACTACACAATACGTGTTGTTATTATATAAAATGCCGGATTACTGGAATGTTATCAATAAAAAAACATAAAAATGCAATTAAAACACGTCTTCTAAGATCGCGCGATCGGAAACCGCTATTGCCGCGATCGGGCATGACGACGATGACGCGTGACCGCGGGAGACGATGATAACGTGTACACGTCCGCGGGAGATGTTCGTGATTTTGACGCGATCGGGCATGACGACGATGACGTTTCCGTGACCGCGGGAGATGTTCGTGATTTTGACGCGATCCCGCAGGTCGACGATGACGTTTCTGTGACTGCGGGAGTAGACAATGATGTTTACATGGCCGTGGGAAATGATAAAATCTTTGCCGCGACCGTGAAAGATCACGATAATGTCTACATGACCGCGGCCCGCGGGAGATGTTCATGATTTAGCCACGATCACACAAGACGACGATGGCGTTTCCGTGACCGCGGGAGTAGACAATGATGTTTACACGGCCGCGGGAGATGATACAATATTTTGCCACAACCGGGGAAGACAACGATAATGTCTACATGACCACGGGAGATGTTCATGATTTAGCCGTGATCGCGCAAGTCGACGATGACGTTTCTGTGACTGCGGGAGTAGACAATGACGTTTACATGGCCGCGGGAGATGTTCATGATTTTGCCACGATCGCGCAAGACGACGATGACGTTTTCATGACCGCCGGAGAGAATGATGATATCTACACGGCCGCGGGAGATAATCAGAATTTTGCCGCGACCGCGGAAGACCTCCGGCCAAAAGACGCCGGATTACTGGAGTGCCGGAGTGGTACAGTGCCGATTATATAGGGTCTTCTGTACAATGTTTTATAATTTAAAAAATGACGGCAGCTGGTATATATAGTGTCTTCTTCAGTATCCAATAGTCATTGCGTGTACATTACTTATTTTTGGGTCGAGTTTTCGATCACTGGACGACCACTAGTATGCTTTATTCTATAAGTTGAGTGTAGTTTTGTTAGCTTGATTTATTTTATTAAAATTACGTCACGTAGATAAATAGTAGTTTAGGCAACTTGTTTAGATTTCAGAACAGTAAAAAAACAAATTTTTAGTAGTAATACACCAATATTATTCTCTACTTTAGAGCCTCCAGAGGTGTTGTAAACTGCAATTTAGCACCATAAAATACCAAAATTTTTCCCGGACCCCCCTTCGGTCCTGGGGGGTATTCCATGCCCCCCAGACCCCCCGGATCGGGCCCCCCCCAAAGCAGAATCCTGGCTACGCCACTGGATGGGATGTAGTATATTCAGTTTGCTGATATGGTTTATTTTCTGTTAAGTGTTTTACATTTCATATTCCTCTTATTTTCAGAATCAAAAGCAATAACATCAGGCTTGGTAATAATGAGTGGGAAAAGAGGGTTGTAATTAGAAAAGATGGATTTGTTGTTGTAGACAATCTAAAGGTTGAAGAAAATCTATTTGCAAATAACACAATGGTGCGGGGTAAAATTAATGACCACCATTTAGAAAATCTTTTAGATGATTCTGTCTTTGAAGGAGGTACGTATGACTTGTACTTACATTTTAATCTAAGTATTATTAAAATAAGTATCAGTGACTAAGACATTGATTTCCTTGTTAAGATACTAAATGAAAAGATGTATTCCTACCGTTACAATATAATGTATTTTTCAGATGATAACCTACTCATGTCAGGAGCAAAACATTTTTTAGCTGAAAGCGAAATACTAAATTTGTACATAAATCCCATCAACAGCTCTAATTTCCACATGGTTACACCAGAGAGTTTATGGAGAAAACGTTTGCTCAAAGCAAAGCACATTGAGGTTGACCGTTTATTCTATACAGGTAGGTTTATAAATTACATATTTATAAATGAGTACAGATTAACTATGTATGTTAATAAAAATTGTAGTCAGTATTGATATGACTGAAAGATGCTTTCCACATAACTAATAAGTTTACTTAGGTCAATTAAATAAAAGAAATAGACTGTCAAAAATTTAATCTATATAGCTCAAATTACAGCTAGTCTTGAAAGCAAAATGTTTTTTCCTCTTGCCTATTCTTTATTTATTTAGTACACCCATATTTGACGTAAGCTATACTTAGTTCTTAATGAAATCTGAATAAATTAATTTAAAATATAATGTCTACTAAAAGATGTAAATACAACCTCATAGTTTCATGTTTTACATTATTAACTAGACTTATCTTGGTCTTGGGAAGATGGCTGTCGATGAATTGCTGAAAAAACTGAATGATGTTTTAAATTTTGCATCATACAATCTTCGGGAACAATTAGATTGAAGAAGAACAAACAATCGCACATTTCCTGTCCACTAGGGATAACAGTCTACTTTCATCAAAGAAGCCTACCATCAATATTAGACTTAAATATCTCTGTCTAGTAATGGCACCTGGAGCAACTCTCAACTCTCACAATATCTCTCACATACGTGATGCTGCTCTGTCTAGGTACTCTGGATGGGCTCAACTCTCGTGTGTTTGGCAGATGGCTGTTGACAGACGGAGACCAGAGTGTTATAGCCTCACAAGCCATCACCAACCTAGAGACCCACAATGTAGCAATGACACCTGGTGCAACTGTCAACTCTCACAATATCTCTCACATACGTGATGCTGCTCTGTCTAGGTACTCTGGATGGGCTCAACTCTCGTGTGTTTGGCAGATGGCTGTTGACAGACGGAGACCAGAGTGTTATAGCCTCACAGGCCATCACCAACCTAGAGACCCACAATGTAGCAATGACACCTGGTGCAACTCTCAACTCTCACAATATCTCTCACATACGTGATGCTGCTCTGTCTAGGTACTCTGGATGGGCTCAACTCTCGTGTGTTTGGCAGATGGCTGTTGACAGACGGAGACCAGAGTGTTATAGCCTCACAGGCCATCACCAACCTAGAGACCCACAATGTAGCAATGACACCTGGTGCAACTCTCAACTCTCACAATATCTCTCACATACGTGATGCTGCTCTGTCTAGGTACTCTGGATGGGCTCAACTCTCGTGTGTTTGGCAGATGGCTGTTGACAGACGGAGACCAGAGTGTTATAGCCTCACAGGCCATCACCAACCTAGAACCCACAATGTAGCAATGACACCTGGTGCAACTCTCAACTCTCACAATATCTCTCACATACGTGATGCTGCTCTGTCTAGGTACTCTGGATGGGCTCAACTCTCGTGTGTTTGGCAGATGGCTGTTGACAGACGGAGACCAGAGTGTTATAGCCTCACAGGCCATCACCAACCTAGAGACCCACAATGTAGCAATGACACCTGGTGCAACTCTCACATACGTGATGCTGCTTTGTCTAGGTACTCTGGATGGGCTCAACTCTCGTGTGTTTGGCAGATGGCTGTTGACAGACGGAGACCAGAGTGTTATAGCCTCACAGGCCATCACCAACCTAGAGACCCACAATGTAGCAATGACACCTGGTGCAACACTCAACTCTCACAATATCTCTCACCTCCTCACAGATGCTGTGTTGCTCTCTGAGAACACAACTTTTGACAAAGTTGTATTTGGTAAGGTTTAAAATGAATCATACATAAGTAGCCATTTTATCCGTTTTTTAAACTGGTCACTATGACTTTTACCTGGTGGATACGGAAAGTAAATAACATCTGGTAGTTAGTTTTTAATGAAATAGAAATCATACTTTCGCTTGGATTGTACCTGGTACTGTACAGGAAAATAATAGAAAATATTGTACACCCTCTAATAAACAAATCATAATGAGGTTGTTTTCACAAATATTCTTAAACATAAGTTAGTATGTTTTTCATTATATGAATTACTGTAAATCTATTTTCTGCAGAAATTTTACTCTGATACGCTATGCTATTAGTGTTATGTAATTTTTTCTGTATGCAGTATATCTGTAAGCCCGCCATGGACTCTAATTTATGTAATTGAACTTCATTCTTGAAAAACTCCTTAATCAGCCACATATGGGGTGCCTATAAGCACAGCCACCTATTATACAAGGCCGCGGCGAGCGAAAAGTGGCAATGTCGCATCTGTGTCTTGGCACGCGGTCGTCTTACCATTACAGTGAATTGAGGAGTCGTGTACCGACGTACTTGTTCACGTTTATATTACCCTTAATCATTAGTAATGACATTGAAATTTCTACTGCATCATGCCAAATAGATGTGTTGTGCCTGGGTGCAAGAGTAATTACGAAAGCTCGATAAAAACTGAAGGATGCATGCAGTGTTTTAAGATTCCAAGTGATCCGGTGCGTAAGCAACAGTGGATTCGTGCTATTTCTCGGTCAGATTGGACACCTTCAAACAATTCTAGTGTCTGCCTATTACATTTTCATGAAGATGACCTTAGTATTGTGGGAAAATACAATAATAAAGACTGTGATTGGTGCGAGTATAGACGCGAGAAGCCAGTTTTAGGGGAAAATGTCGTACCTAGACCTTTTCCCAATTTACCTTCATATCTTGATACACGAAAAACGACAAGGAGAAAGACTCCTGAAGAAAGAAGACAAGAGGATGGCAACAGGATGAAGAAATTTGACTAGCAAAAGTAAGCGAAGTCGGGGACTTTACTTCATTTTGCAACAATTAAGGCTGTATATTAGCACATAATTAATAAATAAATAATAGTAATAAATTGACGTGTATTATTAGCGTCATTTTGCACATTATAATGAATGTGGAAAGCTATATGAAGGCCTAGCTTCTGAGATCGTTTCCACAATGGCAAACGTATTGCTAAATAATTATTCAAAGAAAATAAATGATTCAGTCAGTAGGGATTCAAACAAGAAAAGAAAACTTAAAATTTTGTCGTAGCTATCTAGACTTATGGTTCGTCAGGTAGGCTAAAACAATAATATGAATATTTAAAATTGAAAATAATTTTATTTAAACAATCCAAGATATTTTTATTACTTTACTCTTTCATTTGTAATTGGAAGTTTTACAAGACATTTTCACATGCATTGCAATTATTACAATACGATAAATAGGCCTACAAGCAAACAGACATTATTTTTGTATTTTAGTACACAAATCACTATTATATGCCATTTAAATATCTTTCATTCATTCTATAGAGCAGTGAAAACAGCAAAAATCTCATTTAAGCTATAGCCGTGTGAAGACGGACCCAGAAGGGGTGGGATTGCGGCGTTGCCAGTTCGAACGCCGCGGCCTTGTATTAGAGGTGGCTGTGCTATAAAGTCTAAATATAATCATTGTCTTTACCAAAGTGTTCACTTTTTATCTGTCTATATAATTTCTATCAACACCACCGAGCCTTTTAGCGAATTTGTTTTATAAGAAATAATTAAACTAATTAATTAATTAATTAATTAATTAATTAAACTATTTACGTAGGTCTCTTGGTAAGGGATCGATTTACTTTTTTGTTTTGATTTCCCAGAGACCATAAACACTATTTGTTAAAATTTGTATCATGTATATTATTATGTGTGTCAGTAAAAACGATAAATCAAATAATTTTGGCCCGATTTTGATGAAATTTGTATGAACGTGTAGGGATGAGTACACTTGATGAGTTTGGGAACCAATAGGACTAGGTCATAGGAACTCGGCGTTAAGTCAAAAAAGTTTTAAAATCTTCCAAAAATTATTTTTTTTTACAATTTTTACCCTTAAAAATGAAAGTGCTTGATTTTCAATAGAACCATTGTGTAGAGCTTAAAAAAAATAATTTATATTGAAGGGTTGGTTTATGATTAAAGGTTACGGAGAAATTTCCACATTTACATTCTCATATTAACCTTATGGTGAAAAAGTAAACTGTTTTAGTTTGCTTGTTAATGGTTATATTTTTTATCAAATTTAGCATATTTTTTTCATTTGATACCATACTACTAACATAAAAAAACCACGTTTAAGGAAAAATGTTACTGCATTTAAAACACCAATTAGACTAATGGAAATTGACTCAGTCTGTAGGTTTTCTGTGGCGGAAGTATCATGACTTAGTGACATTTTGTTGATGACTTTATTTCCAGGTGGTCCAGTGAGCACCTTGGAGGTACAGATTGGTGGCAGGATGAGTCATCTCCAGGTACCAGCTGATATAGTTATGACTGACTCAGCTGCTGATCAGCTGATTACTGGCCACAAGACGGTGCATGGCAGTGTGTCATTGGCTGGAGATCTACTCACCATCGGTCTTGTGTCAGATGTCAATGTTACAGCTTTCTGCCTTGCCCTCCACTCTAACCAGTCTAAACTGGTCATTTCAGGTGTGTTGACATTTCAGGTGTGTGGAGACTCAGGTTTGGCCATTACTTAATCATTAATAAAAAAAAAAGCTTGTAAGGTCCCCACAGTTGGACGTGATGATTAAGTTAAAACCTTACTCGGTAGAACAGCATACTGTACAATATCTTATGGTTTGAATAATATAAACAATTATAGTTGCTGTTTTAAAAGCCCTATCATTTATAAAACAATAATAAGTTTGTTCTCCTCTTATGGCAATAGCAGTGTGTCTTCTTTTTGTTCTGACTTGCCACTTCAAGATTGTTGTACAAAGCAATTTGAAAATTTTGCAAAAATATTTACCTTAAGGTAAAATTATCATTTTTTAATTTCCAAATTCAGTTGGACCAGGGAAGTACTTTTCCAGGATACAGGACTTTTTCATATGCAAAACGTAAGTTTATTAGATACATAAAGGCTTACATTTTATACAGATTTATTTATTTAGCTAATTAATGACGATAAATATATCATTGGAAAACTGAATTTTAATTGTTTTAGGAAATGGAAAGTTCAATAGAGAGCCTGAGGTATTAACGTCTGTTGATGGTTTTGATTGGCATGATATAATGGATAATGTTTGGTTCAAAGATGATAATGTAACTGACCTCCACGAAGTTTCCATGGATGAGGTTGAAATCAGAAACCTAACTGTGGTGAGTGTTTTTTCTGTTCTAACTTTATCTGAATATCTCCAACAAAAAAATTTAAGTGGTTATTTTTTAATTGCATGGACATTATTAAATTCAAATTGGTTTTTTCAAACTTTCCGAATGCTAGTTAAAACATGGTAAGTTTGGCTAAATAATGCTCAGCCGTAGTTGTGTGTCTCAGTAATAAAACTTGCATTAAAGTCGACCCCAGAGCACCAATTTGCTCCACTTAAACTTAGTAAAAAAGATGAGTTTAAATCTGAACTGTACAATGTTGGTTTTGTAGATAGAGCCTAGGATCTTGGTCCTTAGTTCAGATTCTGCCATAACTATCAGTTTTCTCTATTATGAAGCTGTGACTTGATAGTTTGGATCCTACCATAATCTGTAGGTCTACCCATATAGTAAAGCAAAACAAAAACATAGCTTTTTTATAGAGTCTTGGGTGTTATAGTTTATTGATTTTGCAGGTGGATATAAATAATAACAATGTAGAAGAACAACTATCAAGACTAGTAAGTCTGAGTGCAGATCAAGTAATAAATGGAACTTTCTACTTCCCGAGTGTCCGAGCTGAGAAAGGACTGAAAGCAGAAAAAGCTACAGTGGGAGGAAATATTGAAGGAATACAACTGCCTTTGTTTATTGAAAATGTTTTGTTGAATGGAATAGATCAGAAAATTTGTGGTTATCTTGATTTCAACAAACTTGTAATCAAACGTAAGTTCTTGAAAACATTGTCAAAGGTTTATAAAAATGTGTATTGTTAATTTACAATTGTCTCACTCTTCATCGGCCACCATAGAACTGGAGGCCTGACCAGATAAACAAATGTGCTCTAAAACTTGTTATGCATACTACATGTTACTTGCTATTCATATATTTAATACTTAATAGAAAAGAAAACATATCTGTAGTAGGTATGTAGTTTGTTTTAGAGAAATGTCTTGCCTCTCATTTCAGGCGTATACTGTCTCATTAAACATGGCAAATGACCATCCCTTCTTCCCTTATTTATTATAGTGTTTTGATCAAATATAGTGATTTAACACATGACACGAGTCTGTATTCGTTCTAGATAACTTAAACAACTCGATGTTTGTGAACGGACTGAACATGACGTCAGACCTGATGCTAGCCAATGTAGAGTCCAACACAATGTCTGCAGAGCTGACCCTGGACCAGCTGATCACCAGACAACTGAGGCTACCAGCTGGAGCTCCACTGGCTGGCGTGGACGTCCTCTCCTGGAGTAGATCTGCTGTCACCAAGTCTGGCATCAAACACGTCATCTCCGGCAACATCACTGTCACGGGCCAACTAGATTCTGGCCACGGAATCAGGTGACAATCACAACTTACATCAAGTGTTTATATTCATCATTAAGGAGGTTTATTAGGAAAGGAGTAGTGTTAGAGTTCAGCGTGAACATAAGTTAATTTGATTCCAGAGGTTCAGATACAGGAAAAGTCACAAAAGATTTATTTGTATTTTGAAACATCTTGACTCTATCTTACCCGGTTAGCTAGCTGAACTCTAATTATTTCAAAAGATTTCCTTAATTAACCATTTTCCTTTGCTTTAATAGTAAGACCATCATTTTGTACATGATAGACAAATTCATGATTGAAATATTCCCAGAGAACATTTATAATCAGCATGAAAGAGAGCGTAGGTAATGTCAAAGTCAAAGTTCCTTCCTTACTGTATAGTCGCCGTATGTTTTCAAAGGCTACATTTAATTCATTGATCATTAATAATGACTTCATGCTGCTAAAATGTATTTGGACTCACATTGTACAATGACCTGTTACCTATTCCTTATAAGTAACTGCTTCCTTTAAATTGAAGGCAGTAATGTGATCACGATTGCAATTCCCACTTACATCTTGCATATGCAATGTCAGTATATCTCAAGCAAAGATGCACTTAAAATGCAATGTGGTGTACCTGGGAAAACCAAATTTTTCCTTTGGCTTACTTTATCCAGCGTTGTCGAGAGTAAGAACTATCAAAGGCTTGCTAATTAAGCCATTTTCGAAACAAGAAGAGTTACAAGCATATTTATTATGGGCCCATATTTGATGAACAGTAAATAATGGACATTAGATACTCGTACCTATGATAAATTACCTATTATATCAACCATTGAAAGTTTTCTTAAGTTGTTACCTATAATCTTTTTTTTATGAAAAACTGTGTTTAGAAAGAAGATAAACTATTTTGCTCCTTTGTTTGCTCCGCTCAATTGGCAGACCTGAGACTGCATGCCTAGTGTTTATAGAAAATAGTAACATTCAAACAATATTATTATCATGAAGGATGACAATAATATTTGGTATGACATTTTTCTTACAGAGTTAAAGGCTTAGTAAACGGCTTACCTTTTGATGAAAAAAATCTTATGACATTGAATGGAGCTCAAGAGACTAAAGGGAAGAAGAGATTTTCTTCTGAGACACGTCTAACCATCCATAATCTGACAGTAGAGGGATCATTTAATGATCTCAATTTTACAGCCTTTTGTGATGAGCAGGTAATATTTGTTCAATTTAAAAATTTATAGTTTACAACATAATTTTATTTGCTGGTTATGTTTAAGCAGTCTACAGCTACTATGTACCGGAAGTCCAAAAAAGAACTCCTAAAAAAAATGTTTTTATTTATTTTACAATATAGAAATTACAATGACTGATCCCCTACATTAAATGAAAGAGGTAACGAAATAAAAGTTTAGGTGTATTATATAGTGTGTAAATAAAACTAAATAAAAAAAAAGAAATTTAATTTTAAAAAATTAAAAAATAAAATTAAGGAGTTAGTGTGTAAATAAAAGGATCAGGTGCATTACCACCATATTCACGCCTAAAATTGGGCTGCACAGTAGTAACAGAATTTGTTTCCATTAACCAAATAACACATTGCGCTTTCTGCTGTGGAGTGTAGCCATTGCACTCTGACAGCGCTGGATGCGGCGTGTTGCAAAACTACGCTCAAGGTCAACAGGGTGTACCAAACTCATTGCCAATTAACCTATGAAACTAAAGCTTACAGGTATACTCTACTGCACCAAAGGATTATTACTCATCCATTTAAACTAATATTATTGTGAGGTATTTTAAAACTAGGGAGTTCTTTTTCGGACTCACGGTATATATATACAACAGATTTACCAGTGTCTCAACTCCACAAGATTATCAGCTGTTTGCTATAGTAACTTGCAACAGTATGTAGCCATTGTGGGATAGCTGGTTAATGCAGGCCTAGTAATCTGATGGGCACCTGTTTGTTGACCCTGAAAAGTCAGTAGATTTTTTCCTGCTCAAATCTAGACCTATCCTTTAATAGATGATTTTGGCTGAAGAAACTTGTCCTAGTACGTACTTTACTTTACTTTATTCTGAAATGGCGACCATACGAATGTAGGCTTTTTAAGCCAAGTATGAATGGAGATTAGTGTAGGATGGGTGGTGCGATCTTGTAGTCTTGTTAGTCGGCCGACATGTTCCTTAGACACAGCTGTTAATTTAATAGCCCATACAGCCAATGGCAAAGGGACCTACAGTTTATTGTGGAATCTGAACCACATTTTTGCCTTGTAATTAACAAACAGGTCTAACTATCAGGATAGTACTACGGATAGTCATAGTACTCACTAGTGCAGACGTTAATCCACACCAGGGAGTATCGCATGCCTATAAATATCCACAATTCGTCACCTCCAAGTAGCTGGATTACAGGACGATGACACCATCCCAGTCAAGCAAGGCTGGTAGTAATAGTAAGGTAGTATACGTTTGTATCAAGACCCGCTCCATACTACACTCATATATTGTAGTGTCTGGTGTGTTGTTGTAGGTGACAGCCAGAGGTGATGTTGAGAATGTCAGGTCCCAAGCAGTTTACAGCTCCTGTGGTGTCACAGAGGGTGGTTCTACCTCAGATATACCACGGTCACAATCTTACTTGGCTAGAATACCAACTATCTGCTCCACTCCCATGGTCCTCTTACCAACGCCAGCTTGACAGTATTATGCAATCTCAGCAACTAGCTTCACAATGCCTCGCTGGTAGGTGGTATTGGCTGTGCACATGTCATATAATTTACTCATATCTTAACTTTCACCTAATTTAACTTTAAACTTTTAAAATGTGTTAGGTGTATTTTAATTTGTTAATTTTAAATGTTGAAACTTAAACTTATACCTCTGATTTGATGAATACTGAGATATCCTGACTAATTTTTTTGTCTTAAAAATTATGTACATGACGGATTTTAACAATACATATGGAAAATTGGTTATTTTTAATCACATTATGGTGGTGCTGTTGGTTGAAGAGAAGGGAGAGTGGTCATAATTTACAGGTAACTATGGAAGGGTCGGAATCTATTTGTTGTTCAGTTGCCATAGTGGAGTTGTCATGGGTTTTGCTCATTATGTGGGAGTGTTCATTATGGGATATTATGTGTATTTTTAAATATTTAATTTTATCATTGCTGTACAACTTGCTTTTAATTTGCAATACAGTCACCACAAATTTAATAAATGCATTTTGAACAGGGAACATGTACCTAAAGATAATACCTAATACCTAAAACAAGTAAATATTCGACATATTGACCAAGTTAGAGCTGATGTACTGTAATATGCTCAACAGGAGAAGCTCTCAACTATACATAAGCCTGTTTTGACAATTAATTGCACAAATTTAAATGTGTGAAAATACTATACAAATTCAGTTCATTATGAAGGATCCAGTGACGACAGTCTCTTGGTATACCAAAAGTTTTTATTTCTGGACTTAGGGTATACGGTATCACACTACTGCTAGCTCGTTTTGTTTTATGCAGCCCTTGTCCATGATCGTATCCCTACAGTGGAAAATGTCCTACTTTTTAGGAATGCACCCACCCTACTCATAATAAATTACAGTACCACCCAAAAACAAGAAGGAAACTATCACAATCAAAAAGCTAACTTTAAAGCAATGATTGAGCTCTCCTCACATATCCACTGCATTTTGAAAACCACGCAAAACATGTACACAAACACCTCATTGCCACCAATAAACCTTATCCTTATTCTCAACCAAAATCTCCTTCACAGACTAAATTTTATTTGAAAAAGAAACTTTATTGTGCTTTGCCCTGTATTCTCTTCTTCAGTATTATAATGAATTTAAATCCCTTTATAGTAGGTAAATGTGTTATCAGACGTGATTGTTGAAATAAGTTGATTCTAGAAACTAAATAAAATGTCTGATGTTGTAGGCAAAGCATATTACCTGAAGAACTTGACTAGAGCAAGGGATGTTGACGGAGACGTGCTGTTTACGCTGCCTCTCAGGAGTGGCAACACAACTGTTCTGGGTGTTGTGAGGAAAGACACAACATCGACATCAGAGCCACAATTCACACTATCTCTGCTGCACTGGAGTGACAAGCAGAACACGTTCACTCAGACACCCGGTAACACTTGTAACTAACCTTTACAGATAATGGCTTCAAATAGGAACATGGTTGTAGCATTACTAGACTAAATAATGATATACTTATTAAAATGTCAAACAATTATTTTGCAGACATGAAATTACACAGTCAGATAATATTCAGTCAGATGAATTACAGAGGGAACTGTAATTAACATTAATCTATGAAAATTATTATTCGTTTGAACTCAAGTGTCTGATGGTTTCAAAATGTTGCGGTAAAATGGGTAATGAGTTCTGTATAGTTTTCACTTTATCTCCCTATACATAGTATAAGGCGAAAGTATTGTTTTTGTCAACATTTTTGAGTTTTCAGTGGAAATATCCATTTGGATCCCCTTGAATCCAAAAAAGTGGTTTTGAAGTGATGCTGAGTGGATATGTCCAGAGCTACAGACTATACCCGTGGTTCCACTAAGATGAAATTTGTTATATGTGTACTAATCTATGGTATCTCCAGGCGTTGTTTAAATTTTTTACATTTTGATTTTGAATGATGATTTTTATATTATAAAAACAGAAAAATATAACTTTAAAAACTGCTCTAACAATTTCGATTGACATTTATTTTAGTAAGTTATAGTCCTTTTAATTCTGAACAAAATGGTCCAATGCTGTAGAGATAACGGTTCAAAAGTGATTTTTATTTTTCTTAAATTGCCCATAAACATTAATAGTTATATCTCGCTCCATTTACTCAAGACAATTTAATGTCGAGTTAATTGGAGTAGGTATGTGTCAGTTTGCTGATACTGTTTATTTTATAAAGGAATGAGAAAATAGGTTGAGGCAGTTGATAGCATAAAAAGGTGCACAGTACAAATAATTTTATATTCTCTTCCAAGGGGGCTTACTGGTTTTTAACTGTCATTCTACTAATTTCATCTACAGAAGATTTGTAGGAGAAAATATCAAGTTACTTGTTTCGTAGGATTGTTGTATGTTATCAACTGATTTTGGAACTATTCCTAGGTGAGTAATGTCCCTTAGGTTCCTTAAAAAACCTCTAACGTCCTAATGTCTTTAGGTTCCTTAGGTGGAGTAATGATCCTTTAGGTTGATTATCCATTCTGCATTCCATTCTGCCTTGATGCTAAAAAGTATTGTTAGTATGTACTAACAGTAACAAAATAGAGACAATATGTAAAACTAGTTCACATCATATCGTGTACTGTTGCTATCAGTTATAAACGTTGTATACCTACAATCTAGGTGGTGTGAACTATTTGCTGAGGACAGCTCCATCCCAAGTACAGATGGTCACTTTGCCAGGAGGTGATCTTGCTGCTTATGTCACCAGCTACTTGCCTCACAACCTCACCTCTCCAGGTAAATGTTGTGTAGTTCAAGGCTTGTTCAAGCTTAATCAAACCAGTTGTTGTTACAGGAAACTTTTTGATGTATACCTAAATGTTTGTGATGTAACTAGGAGCAATCCTAATAATGGATTCTAAGGAAGGGCGTTGCCTAGCACTCTTATTTCCACCTGCCCCCTTCCTTTTACTAATACATATTTCTGTTAAATTTAATGATCAGCGCTTTACATTGTAGGCTTTTAGTAACTCTACATACATATAAAATCAATAACTATAAAAAAGTTTTTATGAATATGGTTTTAACATTTTTTAGCTTTCCAATGGGTCCCATACCCCCCTTAAGCCACCACCTGGCACACATTTATATTTGTTTTATTTTTCGTTATGTTTTTTTCCTAACTCATATAATAACTTTAAAAGTATTTTAGTTAACTAGTTAACAGTATACCGGTATTTACCACTTCAGAATATAAAAATTTCACACCAACAGAGAAAGCTCATACTGTATAACCCAACCATAGACTAACCAACACAAGTAGACTTCTCATCCCATTGTAAATTTTGAAGCTCGTTTTTCATGTCTAGTTCATTACGCCACACTGGGTGCTAGTGTCGACGAAATTTTGTTTCTATTATTTTAGGGTTAATTTCTTTATTTGTGCTTTACTGTTTGGTTATATAACTAGGGGACAAGTTATTGTTTATGATTAGATCGTATTATTTGGTTAAAAGAGGTTTTAAATGGCTGTAATAACGGGAAACAAATTGTAAACAAAACACGACCTCTACATAAACCGTACAGAACTAACAATAAAATTGTCTTCAGCTGTTCCATAAGGATGAGAAATCTACTAAGGGAGTATGTTTTATCTATGACCCAACTTTAACTAATAAACTGATTAATTCAAACATCATCACATTAATCACCTCAAGAAACTCTTTGGTCCATCCTAAGAAGTGTGTTACAGCGTACAAGCTAATTCCACCATACTAAAACATAACTACAGTAGGCTACCTGTATCAATTTCTCATCAGCCAACACTGCCGTAACAGTTAAATATATGAGACTTTTAACACCTGTGAAATATATGACTGTCTATTAACTAGTTACTACTGCAACTGCTCATGCTTATTTATTATTATTAATATTACACATGATAGCTTCATACCTTATTAAAATAAAATGTTGATTTTTGGAATTTTGTCATAGTGAGACATGGAGATCTTTTGAGATTGAAGGAAGGAAAACTGACTGCAATGTCCATATATGGGGGTCAGCCAGGATCTAATATCTACCCACTCTTGGACTATAAACATAGAACTTGCTTTATTGTGATATCAGATGGATGTAAAGTCCATTGCTATAGAGAAGGCCGGCCACCTGTTAGACTACCCAAGTTTCACTGCAGGAATATTACTAAGGTATAAGTTATTTTATTCTGTAAAAATGAACGGTATATAATAACAAAGGTTTCTGTGAAAAAAATCACACTTACAAATATTATAACTGAAATAGTCAACTCTTGATATTTGGTTTTATTAGTCCACTGTCATAGTTTTCATTATAAAGAATTATACTCAGTGTACTCAAAGACGAAATAAGACAAAATAGCTTATTCCCTATATGGGAAATTTTCTAACCCAAAAATAAAGTTTTAAAACAAATAAAAAGGCAAAATTATTTGGAGTGGGAGGGATAGTTCTCAAAAGAGCGGCGGCTAGAGGGTCCGCCGGGTCCTTTGGATAGCGTGGGCTGTACTTGTTGCAGGTGGCGCAGTATGGCCTCAAGAGGTATGACCTTCATGGTCACACGCCAAAAAAATAACATAGGCCAGAGGTACTGAATTTTTGGGTCTTGAACAACTCTAGTATAGATGAAAATAGCTTATTCCCCATATGGGAAATTCGCTAAAAGAGCTTTTATCATAATGCTTAATTATTAAAGCCGATAAGCCTTTGAATGCCTGCCCCAAACAAGTTATGGAGATCATCTTAACACCAGGGTCTAAGGTGTATTTTGCCCTGGTGTGTGGGACTCACTAAAAACTTATCGGTCCAGGCAATGGAAACCTTTTCAGAAATGCTCTTTGTAATACTTCAAGAGGGCGTGCTTGAACGCCAGGGATGGCATTTCAGCCCTGATGTTCCACCAGTTGACCAGTTTCAGTTGCACTGGTTAACTCTTTGAGTTGGTACCTCTTCAGTGTAAATATTTTTAGAATCCTAAACACTTAGTTTCCTCAATGGTTTACTGTCATTATGTGTGTTACTGGTGTTAGGCGACATAGTTGTTTTGTTAATGCCTGAGTTTGAAAGAAAACCCAGCCCTGATGTTCAGTTTATTTTAGAGTCCATAGTCACTTCTCAGTATCTGATAAGTGTCCAGACCCAACCTCAAGGTTCACTGTTCCTGTGGCGGATGTCAGGCCTGAGGTTTACTCTGGTGTAGGAGTTTTAGATTACAAAGTGTTCACTCACCACCATGTATGTTCAGGCCACAACATTCAGGACAGACAGAGGTCAGTACGTGCTGGGTGTCCAGACCCAACCTCAAGGTTCACTGTTTCTGTGGCGGATGTCAGGCCTGAGGTTTACTCTGGTACAGCAGCTTCCTCAGTTCAACCCTGTAAGCATTGCTGCTACTACAACCACTGGACCTCACATAGCAGTGGCCAACCAGCATCAACTAGGGCACTCTCACGCTGAGTCGATCGATATATTCAGGTAAATGTACAAGGTTGATCCATTGCCTTTGAATATACATTAAGAATCTGTATTGTAGAATATTTTTTCTACCTATCTCTTTAAACATTACAGATAATTTTCTTTTAGTTAGAATCCTTTGAACGACGATCTTGTTATTACCGAGACCGCAACTTACTTACAGGTGTTGTCGCAACTTTGACGATCATTAATTTAATACTATAATTATATAAAAATAATTATTTTCACAAGGCCTTCGCGGGCCGGATAAAATGTGTTTGCGGGCCGTTGTTTGGGGACCCCTGGTCTATGACACTCTGATGATATAGGTCCTTGTAGGTCCATGGCCTCAGTTATGTTGTTATGTACATCGGTCCTCTAGCTGCAGCTGCAGCAAGCCCAGCGGGTTCTGGCCCAGAGACCCAACCAACTCATGGATTTAAGCCCACCAGATGGTATTCCCAGTGGTGGGAATGATTCCCCTCTATCGGAGCATTTCTTCCCCTTTTGGAGATTTCTTTCCCTTTCTTGGGAGATTACTTCCCCATTTTTTGTCTTTCCTTACTTTTTCATAGGGCTGTTTTTCCTATAACCTCCAAATATCACCTGTTTAAATGTTACACATTATTGTTCACAGACTAGATGAGAACACCTCTCAGTTACGCCTGTGGCAGAGTCTGCCTGTAGTCTCTCCTCTGTCAGTGGTATTTAGCAGTCTGCCATCATCAGAGTCTGTGTTGTGTGTATCATCCAGTGTACCTGCGTCTCCTCTACTAGTGTACATCTACAGAGGTCTAGTAGGCTACCAACACCTCTTGTCAGACCCTACACTACCTGTCTCTGATGATCTTCAGTCTTTCACAGACTATCATCAGCGACACTTCCTAGTCCTCCACACCAATCAGACTGCTAACGTTCTTAAAGCTGAGTTTGAAGGAACTGTGTGATCCTCCCCTAAGATAGTGAAAATGTTTAAATTACTATAACATTTGTGATATAATGTGATTCATAGCTTTATTTTGTACCATAAAGTATACAAATTGTAAGATATTTATATTATGGCTTATTGGCTATATTCTATATATATATATTCTATTAGTAATTGAAAGTTCCTAGAAGAATTGAAGAGTCTTAGTTTCTGTGACACTATAATGTTATCATGAATGTGATGTAAAATTGTAAGATATATTTCAACCAGATCATTTTTGTAAGTGTGAAAAATTTGTTAAAACAATATAATGTTTTGCTCTTCATATGCACATTTACTCTTTCCTGAAAAAAATTTTTGTAAGAGTTCAGTCACCTTAAATATTAGGTGAACTAGTTTTTGCTGGCAATAACCATATTGTGTGTCTGTAACCAAAAACAAAACAAAAACTGAAAATATCACAGTTTTTCTGTAAGCAATAAAAACCAACATTTACCAAAATTAATTACAAAATTTTTACAAACTGACTAGACATAGGATAACAGATAAACCCCCTCCCCAAACCTTCAGGTCACCGGAATTCTACCCCCCCCCCCATAGAATTTTACCCCTAAAGAAAATCTGACATCACCATGACGTAGTACCTTGAGAGCTCTTAAGTTTGTTCGGAGGTGGAATTTTACCCCTTTCAGAGCATAATAAATTAGATTTGCAATAAAAGCTAGAATTTTAGCCCATATAACTAAGGTTTCAGGAAACTGTAGATGTACAGCCCCGAATTTCACCCCCTGAAATTTTGTCCCCGGTATTTCACCCTCTTACCAGATATAGAATTTGGTGAGAATCATACTAAGTTATGTTATAGTGTTTACGGTACTTCCCTCAATTGAGAGAAAGAAACTATTATCAAACAAATGTGGTGGCCCTTTTCATGTACTGTATTGGAAACAAACTGTTTTTGGTGCTACTTAACAAAAACAGTCTTCATTATATAACAGTAATTTTTTATGCAAGTTAACATAAGGTCTACAAGCTTTTTGTTGAACGAATATACCCTTTATGACCTTCCTCCTCCCCGTCTAAAACTATACTCAGTATATACACACATAATTGTCATTCCCAAAATGTAAACTGTGCATCCATATCTGGTATTTTAGAGAAAAACAACATATTTTCATTTATTTTCCAGAGACTATTTTAAGCATGATGAACTTTACTGTTTGCACTTTGTTTTCTACCAAACAGTTATTCTACGGATTAGTTTTATCAAACCAGTAGACAATTTTATCTTCTGTTTGTCAATGTGTTTTTTAGGAATGTCTTTGTGACTTGTAAAACAGAAATCGATTATAGAGCAGGTCAAAAGACGATCAAAGCTTTCAAACAAAGAAGTCAGAAGAAGACTTGTATGACACAGATCAAGTAAATCAGATCAAATCGTTTCACACATCAATAATCTTTCTAACAACAGTTCAATGGTAAACATAAGCAAATTGAGTTTTTTACATTAATGAAAATTTTAAAAAAAATGTCATCGTAATATAGCCCTCAATAAATTGGAGAAACAAAATGCACATGATTGTATGGGTGTTATTATTTTTCAAACTGTTTGGTAGGTTTCCATAATAGCTGATCTCATTAAAATCTAAAATCCCTCATTTATAGCAAAAGGTTGAGGTCAATTAAAAGTGTAAGTCAGAATAAAACTGTACCTATATAATATTTATTGAAGTTTTTCAGTTGTCTTAAATGCTATTAAATTATAATACCAGTAATGTAAGGTTAATAGTTAATATTACCAGTAATAGACTACAGTGACAACTAATAGTTCACATTTGAGTGATAAGTCAGTATGGAAAAACTGGTCTAATGAAACTATAGTATAGAAACCTAAAGAGTTAAGAAACAATTACAACTGAATTTGCTAACTGCTAAATTAAGTCTTACAGAAAAACAAAATTAAAATATTTCAAAATTATCTATACATATTTTTGCTATTGTAGTAGGAACTAGTACCTCAGTCAAGTATGTTTAGAATGTGGATACAGGAAAGTGTAATTTTCATTATGAGAAATCTTAGTTCAAAAAGGGGTTTCCAATTTTTAAAGATACAAAAACGTGACATAATGGCTGTGAAAAATAATGGAATTTTTTGTTTTAAACATTTAATTATTAGGTACCTATATATTTTGTGAATTTGGGCAGAAATATTTATAAACTTCAAAGATTTTCTTATGGTAGAACTTTTATAAATATGTAGATTGTTCACATGTGCGTGGTCTAAATCGATTATATAGGGGAAATAATAAATCCTAGGGTGGTTTAGAAATTAACTGAAGCTGAATATAGAGTTATGTTATGAGGAATTTTGGTATAACGGAGGTTCAATGAGTTCTCACAGATTTTTTTGACAAGGCTCCCATTTTGTGCCTGAATGTTGATTGGGGAGCTGCTTTTTCATTTGGAATATTGCTAAATAAATATGTATACTTTTGAAAATAGTAACACTTTCCTGAACATAATTAAAAAGACTCCCTGAATGTGTCTATGAACTATTTAGTTTATCTTGTAACAAAAAAATGCACTTTTTAACTGTGAAGAAAATAAATGTTTTGAAGTTACGAAGGCCGTTGACCGCAGTAGCTGGAGAGCTCGTCTATTGTACAAGGTTTGGAGCAACATTCGTCAGCAACCCCTCGAGTTTGTCGGCGGAAGTACTCTGGAATCACTGCAAAAGCTTTGGCTCTGGACCGGAACGGATAAATCATCTGCGGGTCCTCCATGCCAATGAGGTTCATTACCCAGTCTTCGTGACCTGAAGTGCCGTCTGCAAAAAACACAGTTGTTTGAAAAAATACACAGAATAACTGTGTACACAAAAATACATAATAGGCTATGTCATCCTTTGTTAAGCATTAAATATGTTACTTAAGTTAAATTAGAGAAGTCCCTAATTGTAGTGTTGGGAAAGCAGATGGATCTCAAAGTATAAAAAATAAAAATGTATTTAATGGAACCAGAAATTTAAAAAATTAAATTTTTAGGATTATATGTAACAAAATTACACATCTTTTAACTAAAAGAGAGGAAATACAATAACTTTGATAACTAGAGGATTTTCAATATACTCATAGCTAGTTAGAAAATACACTTATAAAGCACTTGTCTATTCCAATGTAGCATATAATAACAACATTCGTGATACTCAAGTCCAAGAATTATTTTAACTGTAAAACAGTAATCAAACCCCAAGTGCATCAACATTCTTCTAGCGTTTAGGACAGATATTTGTAGTTTATTATTTTAGAATATGTTTACTTTACTATATTATGCTTCTTTTGGTTCTTGATATGGATTATCCTGTATGTGTCATACTAAAGCCTCTGATAATAATTACCATTAATATAGTGGAATCTAAAAAGCATTCCTAAACTAGAAAATCTACCAGTTTTCAGGATGGTTGTAGTTGTATTTTTCTTCATATAATTCTCTTTTATGGGAGGCATACCACAAAACATGAACAGAAGAATTTATAGGTTTATTAATTTGGGAAATGAATTTTTACAAGTAGACAAACTGTGCATGGTCTTTACCAGAGGAGCTTCTCTTATAGATGCTGTCACACAGGAACATGAGGTTCCGTCTGAGCTCCTTGCCACAGTAGTGCTTGCGGCCGCTCTTCTTGTCTAAGGCAAACATGTCGTCATCTCCATACGAGAGCGCAATCAGTGATGAGAGTGCAACTAGCAAAAACGTTCTCATCTACAACAAAGCAGTAAAAACCTACTGTCAACGATCAGTTATACATCTTAAGAGTTATCTAGACTGCAAGTACAGTAAACCAGCTACTTTGGATGGTGATGATACAGTAGGTGATGTAAAAGCAAGGTTGCCACAGTTTCTTACAACATGATCATTTCAACAAGATGCTTTCTTATAACATGTATTAATTTTAGTATTACACTAGTGGTATGAAGAGCGTTTAATTAATACTATTGTCTTTTTCTGGAACACCTTGGATATTGTAAGGCTAGCCTGCAGCATGATCACACTATGGAAACAAGGGTTTTACCCATTAAAATTTAAAATTTAAAATTTAAAAAAAATTATATAAGTTTTATACATTTCAAATTGTTTATCCCATTTTTTTACCTTAAAACCATATAATTCAAGAAATTCTTTCCAATCTATTATCGACCTTAAAGGAAGAAATAATTTTGTAAATTGAAGTGTTGTTACATCTTTTATGGTTACAGAGATAATTTTTCAAAAAATTTAAAATTTAAAATCTTGTTGCAGATTGCTTTTTTATGAAAATATTTTTATCAAATTTGAATTTTTTTTTATGCTAAGCTATCAAAATTTCAATTGAAAAAACACACCTCATTATCTTTCCTATAGCAAGCAAATTTAAGTACTAATTAAAATTATGTTTTTGAAATAAGAAATAAATCTGACAATTAAGGGAATGTTTTATTGGAAATCCGGCGAGGAATCAGGTAAATGGAAATTCGCTTAGTCTGCAGGTTTGCTGTGGCAGGGGTAAAAATTGTCAATGTAATGGTAATGTGTGGTTGTGTGTAATGGTGGGGGTTTAAGTGTGCAAGGAAAAAAATGATTTACGCCTCTTATGGATTTATTTGAAATTGCACGATTTCTTTGAGTTTAAATGTTAAAAGAAGGTAAAAGGAGAAAAGGACACAAGAAACTTTCCAGTAGGGATGTGTCGATTCTCGATGCCACCGATGCTGGAACATGTAGGGGTATCGACAATTGATTGTCAAGAGTCAATCCAGATACCCATTTCTGGCAGTGGATATAAATAATTTGTAGACAAAATTTGACTATAGAACTTCAAATTGTATGCTAAATATTGCCGTATCTAAAAATTTGTAAAATAAAGTACGTATAAACACGGCTAGCCCATAAATTCTGTAAGAAAATCCAGAGACGGTACAGGTATAGTATTGCACAATAATTCAATGCATGATATTTAAAATATTGGGAACATAGTGTGTTGTATAAACAGGTTGTTTCGAAACTCTCTCCCGAAACTCCGTGGGCATGTTCCTCAGGTCAACACAAACGAAAGATATGCAACATGAACATATGCACTTTATCACTTCGTTTTCCATCTGTCAGTGTGTATGTATTTTTTACATAACATCCCATAACTGTGGAACTACTAGAGTAGCCATCTTCAAACTTGCTACATGTACGATGACTAATAGGAACTATTTTTTTCCAAAGCACCAAGTTTCTACATTGTATAATTTCAAAATGGCAGCCATTTTAATTTTGCAAAGCTTAATAACTTAAAAACCATAGGATTTAAAAGAAGTAAAATACGACAAAAAGGATGAAAATTTAATTCATTTTGTAGAAATGTACTATTTTTATAGAGTAATAACACAAATAACGAGGAAAATTTTATTTTTATAATGGTAATACCTTCTAATTTATTAAATTTGCCCAAATTATTAGTTTTAACTTTTTTTGCAATTTTTGTCGATTTTAGTTTTCTTTGTTATTTTTGTTATGACCCTATACAAATTGTACGTTTCTGTAAAGCAAATTAAATTTCCATCCTTTTTGTCGCTTGTAACTTTTTACAAATCCCATGCTTTTTGAATTATTAAGCTTTGCAAAATTAAATTTCAATTGCCACCATTTTGAAATTATACTAAGTAGAAACTTGATACTTCACAAAAGAATAGTTCTTATTAGTCGTCATACACATACCAAGTTTGAAGTTGGTCCCTTAAATGGTTCCAAGGTTATGGGAAGTTATGTAAAAATATATACACAGCGACAGACGGAAAACGAAGCGAGATAGGGCATATGTTTATACGATTTTTGTTGTTTGTTTTGACCATCGTTTTGACCTAAGAAACATGACCATGGAGTTTCGGGAGAGCGTTTCGAAACACCCTGTATAGGTTCCTTTATTCTTAAAACCAGTAAAAGAAGGAACGAAAGGTATAGAACCAGTAAAATATAACATTCATTGATCGTAATTTTAAAGAAAGTCGTTTAAAGCGACCGATTTTTAGTCAAAAGAAACACCTGGAAGAACTATAAAATCCATCGACTCGAACAGGTTCTAATGACCACGGCCGTATTTAGATTGAGTGGGTGGAAAATTGAATTTAAATGTAAAGTTCTAAATTTAGATTCACTTATTCACTTACCTCGACCTTCCAAGGAAAAGATTGTCAAAGAATGAGAACTTTTAAAGCGAGATAGTCCTTTTATACAATGTTATTTGAGGACGGTCGATCCAAGATGACAGAGTAATTGTATCTAGTCGGGTGTATATAATCTGTGTAATGGAAGATGGCAAAGCTAGGGTGGACATTCTTAGAAGTTATAAATATTTAAATGTTCAACTAAAAGGAACTCTTCACTTTTCAGTTTAAGATTAATTCATCTTCTCCTCATTATTTAAGTAATCATGTTTTTGTCCATTTAGGTACCTATTTGGAAAAAATACCCCCGCCGCAGCAAACCTGCAGACTAAGCAAATTTCTATTTGCCAAATTGGATTTACACTAAAATGTCTCCTTAAAAGTAGTGTATCACATTTATTCCCTATTTAAATAGCATTAGCTTAACGAGTACTCTAGGTTTGCTGCAACAGGGAGGTTTTTTTTATTTATCTTATAGATTTTATAGAATTTTATTTATATAGATAAATCCCAAAGTACCTATGACTTTTGAGAAAACTACAAGTTACACCTCCATAAACCATATACTTAAAATGTTCGTCGTGACGAGAAACCTTGGGCCGAGTGAATAAAAACAAGTACAGCAAGTAATTACTTTCGAGTAAATACTTTCAAGTATTCATCCCTCCAAGTAAACTCTTGTGAATAAAAGTGATTCTTTACTTGCAAGTAAATACTTCCTAAATGAGAGGGTATACTCACTGATCTGAGGGTATACTTGCAAGTGTTTACTACTTTCAAAGTAAACTTTATACGAGGTACAAGTAGATACTTGTAGCTTATTTCTCATAAACAAATTTACCTTTCTCTACTATTCTGGTATCCCTATGTGCTCTTATTTGTATATATTTACATGTTACTAGTGAAAAGCACTGCTGTAGTATGTATAAAACTATAACAGCTAATTTTACATACATTCATTGCAAGGGTGGTTCTAGACCTATATTTTTTTTTGGGATTGGGGAGGTTGCCGAGGGGTCCGGAGGTCCTCCCACGGTAGAATTTTAACAATATGTGCTTAAATGAGAGAATTTAAGCTATTTTGAGGCATACAAAAATTAATTATCCTAGCTTGATGTGCAAGAGTCCCATATTATTATAGAAGGTCGAAGAATTTGGTTTAAACGTGTAACTTTTTTTTTATTATTGAGACTTGTGGTTTTTCATTAACACGTAGCTTGAACAACGAATGAATACCGCAAAAAATACAATACAGTACATTTAGTTTAAAATCAAAAAAACTTTTTTTATTTAATTAATATTTTTGGACTCTTGCATTAAGGGTTCCAACTTTTCCCCAAGTATTTATTTTGCAAAAACACTTGAGTCATACATCATTATAAATAAATGTATTGAATGTATTACATGCATTTTCAACAAGTAAACTCATACAAGCATGGGTTACTTATAACTTGTTAAAAAACAAGTATTTACTCTTTAGACAAGTATTTACTCGTGGTTATTCACACCAAATTGATAGGTTTCTGAGGGTATACTTCCTTGGCAAGGCTTTACTTACAAGTAAGTACAAGTAAATACTCGTGGTTATTCACTTCTGCCCAAGTAAATACTCAAATTATGAAAATTCAAGACAAGTAAGCTCTTTTACTTGTTTTTATTCACTCTGCCCCTTGCGCAAAACTATCCATCATTTCATAAAATGCCCTTTGAGGTCGTAATTCCTTTCTAAAGGGAACTTTACATATATTTAATGTTAAAAAAAACCTCACCTGTACTTATTGGTTTGTTATTCTTTCAATTTATTACCTTTTTTTAAATTTCTAACCAATCTCCGATGCATTGTATCTATAATATTAAAACGAAACAGTGTTTTTTTATTTCACGATTCTGAATCAACCACTCGACGGATTTTCATGATTTTTGTGTTGCAAGAAAGATAATTTTGAGAACTAGGGAATGTCGAAGCCATAATTTTAGTTTAGGGTCCCAGTTTTTTAGAAATTAAGTTTTAATTTTTAAAAAGTCTAGCAGCCGACGCTAAGATTCTAAACTAGCTTTTGGCATAAAATAATTTGCTTAACATAACAGCTGTAAACATTCAGCTTTTGTGTCACAAATTCAGCATTTGGATAAAAATGTAAAGACATACTTACTAGTAGGGTTGACTTATTTATACTATGTGTAATGCTAATCATTGATACGCTCAATTCTTCCTTAAGAAGATGATAGATTAATTAAATTATACATAGTAAAATACTAGGATGTTCAAATTATTTTTTAAAGCAATCTTTGTAATCTTCGATTTGTTTTAGAGCAATATAATTTGTTTTAACTAACAGCTGGTTAAATATAAACTATGGAACTATGAGGTTATTTTATTTACTCTTATTTTGTCATTGATTATAGGAAATAAGTAAGCGATTAGTAGAGATAATTAGACCACAGTTTAAAATAATTTAGACCAAAATTAATTAAACCACAGTACAAATCGAGGCTCTGTACACGAGTCTTAATAAAAAAGGATGAATGAAAATTATTTTACTGCTCCACTTTTCAAGGAAAGAATAGAAAAATAAAAATGTTTACATGTTTTAATTCTTCATGGTAGCTTTTTGTTTACAATTAATGTTTGTCTGTTTTAACTTTGTTTGGATTAGGCCCGGAAATATTGATGTCATAAAAATAAGATCAAGAATAATCAGGAATCACGATTTTAAAATACCACCACAACCTCAGCCGGGTTTTATACAAAGATAAACAGGTGGATGACATAAATTGAACACAACGTCAACATTGACCTAGGATACTGCAATTAGACAAACCATCCTTTTATGAAATCGTGTTCAGTTGTGGTTACGTTTGGGGTGCCTATATCAGCGATCCCCAAACGTGAAAATATCACTTTTATTTCAACTATGAATATATTGTACAGTAGTTTAAATTAACTAATATGGGAAATTACGATGTACATTTATTCAATGAGGGTGGGTAATTATGAAGGATAGAACTGATAACGGTATGGATAATAAACATTGACAATTAAGTCATTAGCTTTACTAGAGTGTTTACTTTTTATAATGCTGTTACATGTGACCAGTTCTTTTTTTCAAATGAATGTTATTTGAACCAAACAGCTGATTCAAAACAAACTGTTATTGTTTTTACTTTTCTTTGTTTACACTTATTTATTTAGCAATTAATGCAGTGAAATTGATATAAAAGGATAGGTGTGACGATTTATGTGTACTGTGAATTTTATTGGATATTATCGTTTTATTTTTGGCCGTTTCTATTCATATCTACTGGAAATTGTGTATAGTAGTTGTATTGTAGTGATAATAATTATGGAAGAGGCAGGTATACTATGCTACATGGAAGGTGGTATCGTTGACTAGGTCTATACACTTCTCAATTGACTATTACTCTCTCTACTGTAGGCTACTTATAATCAGTGCGCGTCTGTGTGAATCGGCTGCAAATCTCACTTCAACGCTTTTCACACCGTAAACATTGCAGAATTGCTGTTTTATTGTAAAATTATCGCATTTAAAATGCATATCGTATAGGCCTATGATGGAATAAAAACATATTTGGTCACACAACATTTGTTTACAAGATGATTTTTCACATTAAAACTGCAAGAAACTTTGTCTTTATATGTGTAAACTATCTGATCTGAATTGTACACGGTTTTAACTGACTACTAAATTCCCGTACGTAGGACGGGCTAACACCTCGTTTTTATTTAATTTAAATTAATATTTGTGTATTAGACATAGGCCTAGCCTATTACTGTAATGTTTAGTGACTGAATAAACAATTTGAATTTGAATTTAAATGTGTAGCTTATTAATGCTAGTTACTGAAAAAGCCAACTCCCGTTTAACAAATTAAACTGACCATCGGGCGATCTAAAAAAAAAAAGGGCAGAAAGGGCTGTCAGCACATTTGTATAGTGTGGGGTGGGACTATCGGGGCAATCGGGCTACTCCAGTCAGGGCTATGTATTTAGCTTTAGATAGGGCGGGTGTTGTTTTGTTTAAGGTCATAACAACCACGTCATTGACGAGTGTTTTCTGCCTCAAGAGGTTCAGAGGTTGATTGTTTTATAGCTGCTTTCCTGCAAAATTACTTGCTTTTAAGGTGAATCTGCTGAATATTTTTCAAACTTGTAGTTCTACCACTTTGGTCCAGTCCACCACTGCATTTTTATAATCTAGAGCAACCTGTTTCTGTAGAAGTCCTTAGAAAGCCCTTTAAAATCCAGGAAGTCTTTGACGTTAATCCAGATGTCTGTGACATCTAGGCTGATGGTGACGTTAATTGGGTGTTGGTGGTGTTTTTTTGTGGTGGTGATGGTTGTTAAGGACGTCAAAACAAGAATATCACTTAGCCTTTACGCAAGTCCTACGTGATTTTTTTTATACTATGTACTGAAGATATTCAAGGCCACACTCGTCACGATAGAAGACGGCAATAACGTAATTAAGGCTATATTTTGTTTTCCATGAAAAGATGAAGGCACACTCTGGTACATGAAACATATAAAACATGTGCTTTTCTATAAACATGTAATTGCAGTGTTTGACGTCAGTTAAACAATGTTTATCCTTATAATAGGCTTAGTAATATTAACAACTATTGTGATGTTCTTGAGTCGATACATACTGTAGAAAAGGATCAAATAAAACATAAATTTTTCCAACTACAAAGGTCATAATTAACATAAGTACACCCACGGATATTACAACATAATACTGTTTTTATCATAAACATAAAAACCTGCCCACTAAGCGAATTCCCATATGTCTGAATTGATTTTCAATTAAATCTATATTATACTTCATTTTTATAGCCCCAGGATTGCGTTTTATGACTAATAATGGTTAAATGCGAACCTTGTCAGACAATCCTTGACATGTTTTGTAGTGTCGAAAATAACTTGCTACATGTTTCGGTTAGTCTACTTCCAGTCCTGCCCGCGGCAATGTACGTGCATAAGTTGATAGGCCTATCTGTTA